CCAAATCTTCCCTTAACGATGCAATGAAACAAAATGACAAATAATTTTAACCATAATTCATTGTCAGTCTGTCGATTTTGTCTATATTTTTAAAGATCTCCTTACTATCTTCTGTGTTAATCACACATTATTTTACATGTAATAATAATAATAATATTTGTTATTTTTTACGGATATGGTACAATAATTATGATGTTAGTAACACATATATGAGTAAATACATAGTTAAGTACCAGTATGCCTGGTAATAGATACAAACTCAGCTTTTGCTGGACTGATGTGCGTTCAGCGCTGATTTTCTGCTTGCATACACGGGGCACATTTTATAATCATGTAGATCTTTTTATCTAGTTTTTTCACTTTTTGACATGATTTTTCAAACATTTTCTTTCATACAAATCTTGTCACCAGGACAAGGTTACAAACAAATTACTGGTTTTATTGCAAACACAGCAATAAAGAAATATCCAAATAGGCGCAGACATTTTAGGGATGCGATTACATACATTTGGCAATTGATTTTTAATAATATCCCACGAGTGTGCAGATATATATATCTCAAATTATAAATGAACGCCTAAAATAAACGTTTACATTTATATTGTTCGTCCTTCGACAAATTAATTTAATAGAAAAACCCGCATCATGGGGCGATAAGCGCTAAACAATGGGGGCCCATCAATTATGAGACGACACATTGCATTGAACCATTTGGCGAGAAATATATCAGGTAGGAACCTTAGCGCCTTATTAAACGTATGGGCCATTGTGTTTTGGCCGGCGCTTAAAATCTGAACGTTTTCAAAGATTTTTATGCACTATTCGTGACAAAAAGCAAACTAATAGCTGGGAGATCCGAAATTTTAAAGGAATAAAACATATAGGAAACTTATTAAAAGAACATTGTAAAGTACATAAAGTCTGTTATCTTAATGAAGATTTTTAATACATGATGAATGATGATGAAGATAAATAGATGCTTAAGTATTTCTTATTTAAACCTGATAAACCGGTCATTAATGTATTAACAATAAACGTATGTTTAAAGACTATTTATTGAAATAAAAATATACAGATATACAATTCTACTATTTCAGACAATAACTTGAAGATCATTGGACTACATGTACTTATTTGTAACGTGACAGTGAAAGTTGTAGTAAAATATTGCTTAAACGAATTGCGCTAAATATTAAAGAATACCCTATCATATACGACACCTACTATAATCAATTTACGTGGGCTCCCACCTACAAACCCAACCCACAGTCGTATTTGTCGTTCACTACATCCTACCTACGTGTCACCTCGTCTAGGTAGCCAGCCTAGTCTTCGTAATAAATGAAAAACAATATAAGTATTGCTTACCGTAAAAGAACCGATGTCAGCGAATGGCTACTTTCCCCAACGGCTGGTTCACCTTTAGTAAAATGATCAAGACTTAGCGTTACTAAGGAAACTGCACATCAGCTATAAACTGCAATCGATTCACACCCAAAGAGTCAATTGTCAAATAACGTCAAACGTACACAAACACGTACAAATTCAAATTTCGAAACGTCAAAAATGGAACGAACCCATGCGCTCGCGTGTTGACGCGTTGCTCGTCGGCGCGACTGAGCCACGACCACGACACCACGAGAAGGCGGCACGCGCCGGTTCATTCACAAATCGAGTGGCGGGGCACAGGCGTGCGGGGCCGACCCGCTGGGCCCATTCATGCGGTCACCGAGCTCGGAGCTGGTGACCTGCAATTTTATGGTAACGATGCTCTGATCGACCATTATAACACAACATTTTACAACGTTAATTTCTACCTAAACATGTTAAACAATTTTATAAATAAGAACTGTCAAATGTATATTCGTCTATAGAGAGGAAAGTTAATATTTATCCTACAATTTTGGAAGGGAAAGCACTTAATAATCGAAATCCGGTTGAAGGTGTAGGAGTCATCTTGCGGCAACAAGCATATCATCTAATCGATTAGCTATCTATGGAATTGTGACCATAATGATAATGAGAAGGTGAATATTTGTACACTCCGTTAAGGTTTCACGATATGCGATTACGGCATTGCTAACATTTCGAACAAGAAAATTACAAGCACCGATGTTGGTGAAAGGCTAAACGGGCACAATGCAGCGGTTTATGTAACAGCATCTTGAACAGTTCGTGCTGTTGTTGCTTCATAATATTGTAATGATGCAGTTTGCTTTTTTGTTGTTGACTCAGTCGTCATAATTACACGAGATTACCTCAGGAATTTCTTTATAATTATCGTCTCTCCAGAACACATTATCGATTGCACAGATCAGAGGAATTAAAAAAGCTATCTTTCCATCAAAATGTTTTTTAGCCCGGTTAGCATGTCAAAATATGGTTTTAGAATTTATTAAAATTGTTGCCAAATTCTATTTAAATGATAATGGCAAAAAGCTGTTGCCTGAATATAAAGAATATTTTTTGGCATAATGTTGACAGGGGAATTTATCATTTGAACCAAACTACAATAAGTAATTATTATTGTTGGATACGATCCTTAGCAACACAATTAGTAAAATAGACACTGCTCTACGTTTATGGAACACATTAAACCCTATTAAAGAAATTGTCAAGATATCGTGGTTAAAGAAGCAAATACTGTATCTTGATTTTTCAGAGATTTAACATATATGTAATGTAAAATTATTAGTGGGCTTATGGTACACTTTCATATTATATTTATTTAAAATAAAAAAAACAAAGTGCGAATAGGACTTCTGCACCGAATATTATGTACAAAGTACAATTTAAAAAAATGTGTATTTTTTGTGGCATAACTACAAATTTATGGTTACCAGACTTTTCCCTTTCCTTATGCTGTACTGTCGTACTGTTGTTTCTCGTGAAATTTCATGATTCTAAGTCAACAGGAAGTACTTTATAAGTTTGATTCCATTTCAAACACTAAGATGTACACTATGGACGAACGTATATTTCAATTGCGTTGACTAAAAAGTTTGATTTCTCCACAGTTTCAATGGATTGTACAATTGAGTATATGATATTAATTTCAACTTGATACCTACATCTGTTCCTGAAAAAAAAAAAGGTCTTGACAGACGAACAAAAAAAGTCCTTAAAAAGCATATGATTGAAAATCATATGGGTTTTATTCATTCCTTGTACTTTCGAGAGAATGTCAAGATGAAAAACCAGAGAAACACTTGTCGGATGGTCAGCTTGTTTGCCATTTTGAGTTGTGTAAAAAAAAGAAAAATTACTGAAGAGACGTATCGGACATGAATAAGTGAACACGTCAGTAGGAGCCACCAAGCAGGGATATATATCAACCAAATAGATGTGCTAAAAAAAGACTAATAACTGGAAATCTACGAGTTTATAAGATGTAAATAGATTGATGTAAGGGAAACGAAAGATGTTTGTTTTAATCCCACTATCTACCCAGATGAGGAACAAGGAGGTCGTATAGTGTATGATTACAGAATTTTAAAAACATGGAGCACACCGGTGTAGCATAAATAAATAATGTAGAAGTGGCTATTCTGTGAAAAATACCGTTTCCTCATAACCACAAGTATAACGGCTATGGATAGCAGACTACCGCAATCCGCGATACTGCCTACATCTATGGCAGACGTTGTACAGTGAACTCACTTCCTGTTGCCAATTAATGCAATAAGTTGCCGGGACCGGCCACCGCTGCTGTACAGTTACATGAGGAGATCGGCCCTCCTCCGAGTTACGTATTGCGTTTACACATGTTTTTATAGTGAAAACAGAACAACTGCTATAAACCCTGTATTTATAATTTTCTTTTAACTCTATACAAATATTAAATACAATACGTGACTAACATGGAAAAAAAAAACCCGGGTATTTGTATTTTTTGTTACTGAACCTTTTAAATTTATAATTTGGTAGCGTTATATGGCTAGATGTGTTATTTTAAAATTGTTTAATTGCCCATCTTGATCCATTAATAATTAAAGATTGTGTTCCAAAAAACCGACTTCAACTGTGTCATGACCAGTTATTATGATTTAAAAATTAAAATACGGAACCGATTTTGATAACTATTTCTATGGGATCAATCTGTAAGTATATCCTTTCAGGTAACAAAAAAAATTATAAATCGATTTAGAACTGACGGAGTCATGAGGTAACAAACATAAAAAAATACAACCGAACTGTGAACTTCCTTCTTTTTTAAATCGGTTGAAAAATAGACATCTTTGCGACGAAAAGTAATACCGACACATTGTAATCTTACTCCATCACCATAAAATAGTGCTATGAGTTGCTAGTCATCTTTGCTTTTTAAAGCAATCTAAGATATCCCTAGTTTTTGTGTTCTATATTCATTAACTTACTACTTAAATTTATCACTATCCACCAAATGAATTGACAACTGTTTGCCAAACAATACTAAATAATTTTGCAAACTGTTTAATTGAAAATGATTCACTATTAGTACGGGAACAACACGAGCAGTAACCCTAAAAATATAGCATCTTATACACAAAAAAATAGCGTTAAATTTATAACCTTCTTCTTAGAGTCGCTGAATAAAAAGAAATGATCAGATACAGATAAATCTGCATGCACCAGAATAAGTGGTCGCCGCATAAATCGATTATTTAGTAAACCTCAATATAACTAAGCTATAAAGCTCACATCTTCGCTAGAAAACATGTCGATCAACACAAATTGTGCATATTTATAGGCGTCATAAAATTGTAACTAAGTATATAATTCGTATTATGGTGGAAATTTTATTTTAGATCTCGCTGTAAACAACGTAATAATTCAGAACATAATCAAACAAAAATAAATTGATTTGTTTATGATAGGCACCGATTACTGCATAGATCCTTGAGGTTTTTATAAAACAAAAAATTTATGAATCAACGTATCAAATGCAAATTATTTCAAAGAAAATATATGAATGATTTTTTATAAAACTACGTAGGTATATATAAGTATTATTTCCTTACCTGCATAACACAAAGCGATGTAGTCCTTTCCGGTCGCCAATCCCTCCGGAAGACTCCATGATATTTTAAATTCAGCACCTTCAAGAGTCCATCTAAGATCGCTTTGAAGTTTATCATTGGCACTACATTCGTCATTATTTCTACTTTTTTCACTATTTAAATGTTTATTATTTATGGCACTTTCTGTGATTAATTCAGCTGTATTGGCATATTCTTCTTCCTGTTCTTCTTTCAGCTCATCAGGTACGATATTCACAAATTCACTGCTCTCATTTTTTTGATCATTTCGGTATTTATTATTACTTGTCGCACAATCAGCGTCATGTTCTTCTGACATGACGTTCTTCGAGTCTATTATTTATACATTACTTCGAATATAACTGAAAAATATTGAACAGACAATAGTCACTTGTATAATTGCAAACATTCCCCAAAAACAAGACGTATTTTAAAAAAATAACCACTTATACATTATTCTCTAATTGACTAATAAGAACACTCCATTATTTTAAAATCTTCTCTAATGCGACAAGATAAGTATAAAATAGGCGAACGAAACCAGTGTACAAAAATTAGAACCTTTTAGATATTAAGAGCAAGGGCTACTAGTGTTGTCTGTGTAGTGAGTACCGATAGGAGGGAGCATTTGTGGAAGGTAGCGGGGTGAGCAGGCGCGAGGCGGCGACGTCGCGACGCCAGCCTGGCCGGCGCCGTCGCCGACCTACTGTTTCTTTAATTTAGACAATTCATTAACTTGTAACCATATTCATTTTCACAATTTTCTTGTAGCAGCACTTTGAATGCTCGTTCTCAATTTGACGGTATTATTTTTTAATGTGACATAATATAATAATCTTTTGAAGAAAACAACAATAAATATGTTTTTATCTATTTATATTTGCCGATTCTAAACCGATTTCTGATGATTTTAATTTTATCCAAAAATATTTTATTCTCACCTCATGATGAATAATAGATAAAACGATGAATCATATTAATTTGATCAAGAATGAATTTACAGTAGAGACTTGATTATTTAGACTCACTGATACAGTAAGGCATTCAATTAATCGAAAATCTGGATAATTAAATACATGAAATTATATTATTAACTTTAAAAATATATCTCGTCCGTGTACAGGTTTTTATACAAAATAATACAAACAAATTAAATTTATCAACCAAAATCAATATTTATTAAGACATTTTCTTAAATTATCATTGACAATCCTGATAATAACGAAACCATATCAGTGAGGCCCGGATAATCGAGTCCCTACTGTATTTATTAATTAAAACAAAATTTCAACTGATCATAATATTATGTAAGAGAGGGACTGGCTGAAAACCAGCGCTGTGCAGCTGTTCACATTTCGCTGGGACACTCACAGCATCAGCTGAGCTGGTTCCTTTTGCCTAGTATGAGACACTTTTTGTATATGTTATTTATAATTTATATTGTAATTGTATGGCAATAAATGTTTCTATTCTATTCTAATAACACATACCTAATTCAGTTAGATAAAATAAGTTATGAAAGTAAAAAAACATTGTTATGACCTTGGCAATCGGTTCTCTCTGCCTATCCCACAAGGGACTTGGCATAAAGATAGATAAGTTATATGAATTTTAGAAATTCAAACGCGGACAATACACTGCTGTCTGTGATATCATACATTGTAACACTAAAGTATTTTTAGGTTTTTATATAAAAAATTTAAACTTAGATATTATTAAACTATTATAAATATACTATCGGGATTGTACCACGTCGTGACCAAGTCGAAACGTCGGCAATAAAAAACAAGGAATGTAGGAACTATTTATATGAAATTTTTCATCCCATTAAGTCCCAACAGTGTATTTAAAATATGTGAAAAAATGCGTAAGTTTAAAATTAACTATCTAACCTAACCAATCATACTGCAAAAAAAAATTTTTTTTGTAAAGAAGCTGCCTTAAACCATGTGGGATATCATATGAAAGAAAAACTCATTCACAATTTCACATTGTGACTTCCAGAAAAAATATACTTTTCCACACACTTTTACGATAAATATTTGACCAATTTCACACTTTTTATCTAATTTTATAATGCGTGTTTTCAATGTATGAAATATAAAAACATAGCATTCTTCTCTGTATCACTAAAATTTTTAAAATGAAAAATCTTATTATTGCTTATTGACAATTAAAATTTTTATGTAGGTAGTTTTTTATGTTTCTAAGTACTTTCTGTAATAAATAATTATGTATGTATTATTATGTATTTAACCTTTGATTAACTTCTTAAATATTTTGAAAACAATAATATTTTTGTTATTTAAATACAATGATAATAAGAGTACTTTTAGTTATTTCTTATTATAGACAAATCCTTGAAAAATCATACTATATTATAAAAAAGAATATCACTCCAAAAATTTCAATATATTTTTTATTTCTAAAGAACTATCAAAAAAGTTTTCAAACAATCCTAGTAATATAATTACAATAAATATAAATGTTTGTTAAGATGCTTGGACGTGTTAGGTAAAAGGATTTAGATAAAACATAAACTAACATTCATACATATATCTACTTATATATATATATATATATATATATATATATATATATATCAACCTTTTTTCTAAGATTATAAACATATTTTTATGCAACTTAGAATGCCAAAGAAGCTGACGGCTCACTTGATAAAAATTGGTAACTGTCATAAGAGTATACTATATCATGCAAATATCATTAAACAACTGCATATAAGTTACAAGCAATTTATCTTTATATTTTAAGTATTAGTATACTTTATATTATCAGTGCCTAAGGACTAACAATTGGGTAGGCAGAGAGAAATATGTGCCAAAGGCCTTTATTCTTACAAGCTTCTCTTGCTTTATTTATTATGAAAGACTATTACAATGAATGTTATTGATATTGTAATTATTTATATTAGCTTTACTCACTTTTTAAATTTGAGGAAGCCCAACTATATATACATGAATATAATATTATGATAACATATTTTTTTTTTACAAAGTTACATATTTAATATCTAACTTTCTATATACATTACCAAAAACCTAAAATTTATTCGACATGCCATTCCTATTAAAATAATCTTTTTCCTATTAATATATTTTTTTTATAACTTTAACTTAAATTAAATAGAAATTCGGTATGAGAATGATTCTTATGAAGAAAATAATTGAAAAAAATAGCCAATAACAACTATTTTTCTTTTTCCATTATGTACTGTTCCAAACTATGTTGTTGGATCAACTAATGGTAGATAAAAATATATCATGAATATATTATTAAGGACAAGCATACTTACTCCTCATTATTTAGACAAAGAACATGTGAAATCACTAAGAAATTTAATATTTATTTATTTAACAAATAATAATACAAAATAGACTTATATGATAAATATAAATTGCATTTTTGGATAAATAAATTCTTTAATAAGGTTACCAGACCCCACACAATTTTTATACAATATAAATTTATTTTTTATATTAATTTATTATACATTTTTTAAATTGTTTAATGGTATTTTTACAAAAAAATTACATGCAAAGTCAGTAGAAATGGGAGTATGGGAGTAGAAATATGTAAATAAAATATTAAACCACTAAAATATTCTCAATCTTAATATTTAATATAAAAATGATTAAGTTCAAAATACTACAAACAATTAATACAGTATGTTAATTAATAAAATGCATTTCTTAAAACTAACATTAGTATTGTTCAATAAGGACTAAAAAAATTTTTACACAATATTTTTTCTTTTTTCTGAGAATTTATTTCTTTATTTAGTTTTTGGTACTATAAACAATGTAGGAAAAAAGGAAAAATGTTTTTGAGACCCTTTTAATGAATATTAAAACCAATTGTAAGGAGTGGCTTTCGTTAAATAACATACTGTACAAACGCAATTAAAATATAAATAGAAAATCTGCATTAATCGACAAATAAAATTATTATAATTTATAAACAAAAGCACTGAAAAAAACCAACGAACAACTCTTTCCTACCATTTTCACGTATTAGAATTAAAAATTTGTAATAAGTACACTACATACACTTTTCACTGTAAAACTTTCAATAATTTTCATTATTTTTACCGGAAAGTAATTTTTATTTAGTATTGAAATGAAAAGCTTTTCTTTTTAAGCTTTTTTTCCATAGGTACATTGACTCTTTTTCACTGCAGCAAAAGCAACCGCAGCAGGAGCAAATGATTTGACATACGTACATGACATTGACATTCACGGCATTGACATTCTTGAACAGAAAAAAAACAAACTATTAAGGACTTCATTAACGGTTTTCTTTTTATTTTTTTTGGGATTTACATCATTTAGGAGAAAAAATATTTAATTAATTAGAATAAAGCTATAAACGCCTATCAAAATAAAATAAACGTAAATATTTGCTATTTTTACACGGCTGTGTGATGAACAATGATAGTTGTGCTAATTAGTCGAACATCGCAACAACACAGATTAACTGACGTTTAATTGGCAGTTTAAATCAAAATTTTAAGACAGCATAGTGGCAACCGCACACGCATATATTCGCACAATAAATTGTCGGGCTAAACTTGTATTTTACAACAACATTCCGCTCTTATTCTCCCTGAACATATGGTCCTTCAAGCTCTATTCAATTACTGGACTGTTTAAATTACATCGTGATAAATTCCACCGGCTTCCAACAACGACGCGGTCGTCTTCGATCAACGGTTCTTTCAACGGTTTGACGGGCTTCTTTCAACGCCGTTCTTCAACGTTTTGGAGCTGGGAATTTGTTGCTGTTTAGTCTTCCGACCAGAATTCTACGGGCCCTACAACGCTTTTCAAGACAAGAAAACAAAAAGGATTATATGGATAGTGCATAAAGACCGTGAGATCGCTCCATTATCTATCTTTTTGCTTTCCATCATCATATTATCTTCATTTAACCTTTTCCATTAGTGAATTCATTCCATAATTCCATAATACTTAATCACTTATTTTTAATCTAAGTAGTTATTAATTTCAAACCATAAACGGTTATTGCCATTTACTTCATTAGTTTTTTTGTAGTCTTGTAGATTAAAAAGCTAAAATCGTAATATCTATTTATACATTGATTATTAATATCTCCGTAATAAGTAAATCGTAGACGCTTTTTTTAAGTAACATTTTTTTTTTACGCTACCTACCATAGGCAGTAAATATCATAATCGAATCACGAATCATACAATCATAATTATCACGTAGTTTTCAACGCTATTGTATTATATACTTAGTTAATTTTTTGTTTTATTTAGTAAATGCGATTAATTACATCAATCTGCTTTTAGTTGCTTTAATCATATCTCACGTACCTAATTAACAGTGTAATATTTTAATACCGTGCAATAATTTATTTTTTTGTTTTTTTTCTTAGGTTAGCCAGTAGTCTGCTAAATTACTACCAACCGATCAACGGACTTTGTACTGTAGCATCTGTGCAGTGTCAGACACATTATCACAGATTAGTATATTTTCAATTTGCTATCTTTTAATTAAGTATTTTTTTTTTTTTTTTTTTTTTATTCCAGACAAATTATCTTTTTGAAGACTAGGCAGCATGGTCTCCGACCTTAGCCTGTTCCAAACGGAACAAACGTACTAAAAAAAAAAAAAAAAATCAAAATTTTAAAATATTCATTATAAACTTAACTGAATTAAAAATACATTTTATTAAATAGCTACCTATACAAAATATTGCATTTTAAGCAACATAGAAATTTATAAAAAATAACAAAATCACTTATATCTTGTTTGTAAATTATAATAATTATGGCTTCTATACCGCCATCAGATACAGAGTCCAATGTAAGCGGTTTTATACAGTACAGCAACAAACATTTTAAACACTTATACATATCTATGATCGAGGTAAGTGGATCATATTAACAAACTATTCTAAATGAGTTCAGTAGTATGTTCATATATCTTTATTAATATTTTAAGTATTGTTTATCTCTTGGCGCTTTAACGGTTCAATCCACTAGTAAGTGATCAACCAATTGTTTTTAAATTCTCGAAGTCTATACGTAGTATTTAAGATAGAGAAATATGACGGCTATTTATTCAGAGCACTGAGTACCCTTAGGAACCTAAATGATAAGGAAAAAGTTCTCAAAACATTGACAGTAATCCTTGCCTTGATTAGTTGTACATTTGACATTAATATTTATTTCAGAGTATGGAGACTATCAATCATGATATATTGGAAATAGAAAAGAATTTAACAAACATTGTGAAACAGTCGGGACCTCTAGAAAGCCAGCTGTCTGTTTTACTTCATTCATTACCAAAAGAAAACCTGAATGTGTCTATGGAAATCGAATAATATTATTATAACACAACTGTTGTTATTTTTTAATTGGTAGTGATCCTCTCCAAATTTTATTTGTGTTAATACACAATAGAGTATCCACAGTCCTTGGTATTGTGTGTATAATCCAAAAATTAACATATTAGAGACCCAAGCAAATAGTAAGGCATAACAGTATCAGTCTGCCTATGAATCAACTGTATGTAGGTATGTTTATATTTTATTTTTGCAAAAATGGTCTAAAAAAAATATATACTCTAAGAATATCCTCATTTCAAATACCTACATACAAATATTATTGGAGAATCCTTTGATGGTTGTTAAGAATTGTACTGAAAGCTATATTGCCTTAGATTTTTTTATGAATAAAAATGAATTGATACTCGACTCTTCTACACTATATGCTAGCATAGTACTAACAGGGGATAATAGATGAGGATAAAGTCGGGTAAGCAGGCCCATTATGACAAATTTACTAGGTTGGTTTCATTTTCCATGGAGAGCTGTGAGAAGGTCAATCTAAAAAAGTATAATGAATCTGTTAGTCTCATTACTAACTTAAGCTTATAATATTAAATTTGTAGATAATTCATATAAATGGTAGCCATTGGGAGGTGGAATAGTAATGTGAACTACCAGTCCCATTGCTAGCAATATACTCTGTCTGAGGTCAACCTCCACGGTTGGTCACCCTTGGAAACCATTATGCTCTGATTCTCACCTATCATCTGTCACTGGTGCCCTGCCAGCATATACTATATAGGTACCGTTAGCACAGGTGGGGTCATCATTTCATTATCATCCATTAAAAAAATGGTGATTTTTAACTAGGAGGAGGAGGAAATAGATTGTTGATAATGGGCCCTAGCAGCCATATTGCTAGCAATACACTTGATTAGACAACCTCCATCCGGGTCCCTCTGAAAAGCATCATGATTAACTGTTGTTGAATTCGTCAAGACCAATTGACATGCTTTCATCCTCATCTGTAATTTTTCACTGGTGTTCTGCCAACATATATCGATAGCGAAGATAGGGTTACTAATCCATTTTCACTGGGGGGAAAGGGATTGCAATAGAGTTTTACAGCCCCATTACTAAGAATATGCCTTATTAGGTCGACCTTCACGCGGTTCCCCCTGGAAACCATCGTGAACAATTCTTGTTGAAGTCGTCACGATGGGTTAACTGACCTTTTTTTTTTTTCGTGGGGAAATGCCTCATGCAGACCCATATGCCTCGGGGGAGGCATATGGATACTGCCGGACTCCTACCGGCTAAAACCACCACGGCATCCCTCGCCGCGCCAAAGTGTTGGGGACTCGGGTTCTCTTTCGAAATCCACCGAGCTCCAACGGCGTTGGCCCGCACCGGCTTGCGGGCCCCGACTCAAATATGAAGCAGGCACCTGATGTTAAGTGCCCGCCTACTCTTCAATGGGAAGCACGCGGGGATACGCGCGCGACTTCCCAGGGCCATGTTAATTGGGGTGGGACCGCCCCCGCGGTCGTCACCCCAGCCCTTTGGCGAACGGCGGCTAGCCGCCCTGATCGCCGGAGTAGAACGTTGGACCTTGATCCGTGTCCATCTCCTCTCTCCCGCGGCCTGTAGAGGGGGCCTGAACGGCTGGCCGATTCAGCTGCTTGTATTTGGATGGGGTGCATGTCTTTGCACCCACCCAGTGATCCGCCGGCCGACTCGCCGCGACGCAGATCCCACACCGCGGGGTGGTGGTACATTCCGCTGCTTTGTGCCCATTAATACCGCAGCGGAAACATGCACCGCTGCGGTCCTCCTTATAAGAGCACTTCTCTCTCACGTGCCCGCTTTCCAGGCACCGGAAGCAACGCAGTTGCCTTTGCTGCAACAGCTTCGTCCGTGCCGACACCCAACCGATGCGGATATGCACCGCGGTGGTGACCTTTTTAATGGCCTCCATTGGGCCACGGACCCAGCAGGTCCCCAGACGGAAGGGTTAACTGACCTAATTCATCCTCACCTATCATCCTTCACTGGTACCCCGCCGGTGTATACCGATAGCGCGGGTGGAGTTACCATTCCATTATCATCCATTTAAAAAAATCCATTTTCACTAAACAAAAAATATCTTGGAGGCTTACCGGACATTACAGAATACACTGTGACGCCCTCATTCTTTGCTATCCAGAGGTTTAAGACGTTATGTCTCTGTATCCTATAATTTCACTGCTATATTATCCCATACTTTGAAGTAAAGTAAATGACTACAAAATTTATTTTACACCGATAAAGAATAAAACCTTTGTAACATTACTATTTCAGTCTTTGTGACAGGAATGCCAATTTCATAAGATGTTAACGGAATTATAAGCGATGTTTTATTTAAATTATTTACCAATACTCACATTATTATTTTATTAGAATGACGACAATTAGCACCAGAGCAAAGTCGCCGACACGCGCTGAAGCTATCGCCAAAGCTTTAAAACCTACTCCTGTATTTAATACAGGAGTACTTTTAGGTAAGGGAAAGTTGCGAATATAAACACTAATTTCCTTTTGTCTTTAAATCTGTTCTATATGCTAATTTTCTGTCTTATTTTTAACCGATCACTTATAGAACAATAATATCGTAATATTCATGCCTGTTTATTTGCCACATCATGAGAAAAGAATATCTAGACGATTCTGTAAATGGGAGTTATTTAAGAAAAAAATATATGAAGGTTCTTGATACGAGCAGTAGAAGCAAAAACAATATTTTTTTAGAATTTTTGTCTGTCTAAATATTTTTTTTTTAATGGGTGAAAATGGTATGGTAACCCCGCCTGCGCTAACGGTATACGCTGGCGGAGCACCAGTGAAGGGTGATAGATGAAAATGAAAACAGGCCAGTTAGCCCATCATGAATTATCATCAGAAATTAACCATGATAGTTTCCAGGGGCAACCGCGAGGAGGTCGACCTGGTTGGGTATATTGCTAGCAATGGGATTCTCAGTCTCCATTACTAACATACCCTTTCCCCCCTTGTCTAAATATTTGTTCTGGCATCACGGAAATACTACTTGCATCGATTTTCACGGTCGTGAAAAGCTAACTTAAAAACTATTATTATCATTGGGCAAAAAGCTATTAATAAATATAACGGTACAATAAATTTCCTGAACTTTTAGGAAATTATTGGATAAAAACCCAATAAATACATGACTTACAGATTTATAGAAAAATTACAAAATGATGTACTTGGCTATCTAATTAATATCTATCACTGCGATTATGCCACGTTTGTTTTTATTATTTTTCTATCTTTACATAAGCTATTTGTGATTTTTTTTACTACAGGCAATTGGGTGGAGGATAAGACCGAATGTCCCAAAGGTGGCACGTTATATTTCCCGCCCAAAGACATTATAGACAAAGAAAAATTGAAACCAGAGTCGAGACAACCTGATTTCAGATTAAATAAATTAAACAGTTTACAGGTACTCAACTATACTTAGTGGTAACCGGAAATTAGGTGTAGTTATTGTTTAAAGCACGTGCATACCGTCTTCTCTACGATGAATTTTATTTGATAATGGTCTGATACAGTTATGAGGAAGATCCAACTCTCTCAGCTAGTTATAGAGAAGAGCTACATATTACATGGATATCAATGAGTTTATCAGCATGATAGAATCTAAAATAAGGATGTCCGCAGATAATAGATCATTAAAAGCAGGTGACTCAAGAATGTACCTTGTGTCTAGAGGGAGTCCTATTTTCAGTTGTGGATACTTAGAGTCTATTTTACTGTATCTTTCGCCCTTTCTAATCTCTGGGACTGTAACGTCACGACGCATTTACTGAATAATTTTCTTTTTTTGTTTGTAATATTATTATTTTGGTAATATGTTACGTAATATTTTCATTAATTTTGAATCGATTTAGATATTTTTATATAAAATCGTAAGGGTTTAGTCCTATGCTGCTATATACAATTACTTCGATTGAGATTTTTATTATATCCTAGACTTTTAACTATACCTTTCACAAGGGAGAACCAAGTTCTAATATAACGTCCGAGTTCTAATACACAAATATTATGAATACGTACTTGTCTTGAATATCCCTAGTACTAGATCTATTAGATGTTTTTGTTTATATTCTCCAGGGTAACGTATCTGCAATAATACGTCACGATACCCACGACACCTGTGCAAACTTCGCTACCATCACTGATCTTGTCTACAACCATCTACCAAAGCCGTTGTGCGGCCCTATTCAACGATATTACAAGTGGAGTGCTCATCAATTTTACCCTCAGCCGGATCTAATGAAATGTTTCGTATGTTATATTTTTATTACTGAGAATGGCAAATAAACTGACCACTTGATGGAAAGTGGTAACCATCACCTATAGGGGGAAAAGGATTGTTAGTAATGGGCAGGTTGTCAGCAATGGGGAGTCCATTACTATCAATATACCCTATCAGATCGACCTCCACGCGGTTCCCCCTGGGAACTCGTGATTAATTTATTGTTCAATTCGTAACGATGGGCTTTTTTTTATTGGATGAAAATGGAATGGTAACCCCGCCTGGGCTAACGGGATACGCTGGCGGGGCACCAGTGAAGGGTGATCGATGAGGATGAAAACAGGCCAGTTAGCCCATCATGATGAATTCATCAGGAATTAATCATGATAGTTTCCACAGGGAACCGCGAGGAGGTCGACCTGGTTGGGTATATTGCTAGCAACGGGATTCTTAGTCTCCATTACTATCTCTTTCCCCCCCGGTCACGATGGGCTAGCTGACCTGCCTTTTCATCCTCATCTATCACCTCTCACTGGTATCTCGCCAGTGTATACCAGTGAGTAATTAATTAATGGGTAAAAATGGCATGGTAACCCCGCCTGCACTATCGGTATACGCTGGCGGGGCACCAGTAAAGGATCATAGGTGAGGATAAAAAAGGCAGGTCAGTTAGCCCATCGTGACGAATTCGACTGTAAATTAGTTATGATGGTTTCTAGGGGGAACCGCGTGGAGGTTGACCTGATAGGGTATATTAATAGCTATGAGGACTAACGTCTCCATTATTAACAATCCCTTCCCTCTCATAATGAGGCTTTTAGACCCCATTACTAATAATCCTATTCCTATTTTTTTACATCATTTGTAGCTATAGTCTGTACAGGGAAATGTCACTGAATGGGGCTTGAAGAAATTCAAACAGCACGAGTGGGCCTGCACCGATGTCTCTGACTATACATCCACTCTGTACGAAGATACCTACTTACCGCCACAACCTCATCAATATCTCCAAAAATGTGAACGAAGGGCACGAAATTCGTTAGTACAATGTCTAAGTTTTTCTATATAAGAAAATATTTTCTACAGAAATAATATCTTCTAGGAAACAAAAAAACAACCTTAGCTTACGGATAGCGCTGGCGGAGTTCCTATTTTATTTTCATCTGTAAAAAATATATACTATGGCGTCCATGATACTTCTAATGCATTGCCACTCCTTGTCGTTACATTCTTTTCTTTTTTTCATTAATTGTTCCCACAATGAACAGTTCTTATTATTGGTTGTATCTAAAATAGGTAATACTGTAATCTTTTGGAGGAAACAAGTGTATCTATCTTGCTTAACTTACGGATATCGACCCTAATAATGAGATCAATATATATATATATATATATATATATATATATATTACTGGCCGCTCTGTACATGGACGAAATATAAGAAAAACTATTACGCACGCTAATCTCAGCGTTATTTATTATTATATTTATTTATATATTATTTCAATCGGTTTATAAATAAAAAAGTTATATCAATCTGAAGGCTCATGTATAACATGCTATAAAATAACCGATCAGTTGAATTGGCTGAAACTTTATGAAGGTAAGTAATGGAATGGTAACCCCGCTTGTGCTAATGGTATACGCTGGCGAGTCTCCAGTGGGGGATGATAGATGAGATGAAAAGTTAGGTCAGTTATACCACCGTGAAAATTACGCCAGAAACTCAGCACGATGGTTTCCAAGGGGAACCACGTAGAGTTCGACCTGTCAGGGTATGTTGCTAGCAACGGGACTGGTGATCCACACTACTAACAATCTCTTCCTCCCTATATTTTTCGGTTAGTTAACTTAAATATAATATATAAACTCAATAATATTTTACATTTTTTATTGCAGGAGCTTCACAAAAAGTTTCAGATTTAAAATGACAAAACCAAAACAATGATAACATCAAGAATCATTTTCTCTTCACTTTTTGCATAAATTACGAGTCTTTATAATATCACATTTTGTTCGACAAGAGGACAGTGACGTCCGTATAAAAATTGTAACAATACAATAATTCTTAATGCTTTCACATAGCCACAACAGGCTTCAACACGAGATCAGCAAATAGTCTTAACGCTAACTTTAGTCTCAAACATTACGACTAACAACCACTTACAAATACTACGTGATAACTTAACAAATATTTTAATATAATGGCAGTTCATGGAACCTTTAACAAAATAAAAAGACTAAATATCGAAGCGAAAAAAATAGGCAAAAAATATAATGTACTATTTTCACATATAAGAGAAGTTAAGGCTGACTAGTCTACTTAATGAGACGCAAAAGAATTTACTTGAGGCAACTTAATCAGCCCGGGAGTTTTGAACATGCTGTTTGGTATGTGTGGCTGCTGTTGTGTGAATACACTCTGCGATATGAAGTTCGGTTGAGCAAATTTTGGCTGAGGTATGTGCACGTGGCCATTGTACTGCATTTGGGGGAACACTGGTGAATTGACGCTACGGAAATTTTGAGGCGATTGAAAACTATTCAAACTGGGAACTTGGTTGTCTATGACCATAGGTTCGCCACAAATAGATTCTTCACGTGAAGGAGGCTGCGAAAAAATATTACGTTGAGTCATACTAGATGTCTGAGATTCAAACCCAGAGCTTTGACTGGAGGAACGACTGCCGTTTACATTGAAAATCTGTCGATCCCCTTCAGAACCCCAATAACCACCAGCGACCCATGAAGTACTATGACCCAACTTACTTGGCGATATAAGAGGTCTTGAGCGATTCAATGGCGTTGGAGTCGCAAAAGTGGGAGTGGGATTGAATTTTCTAAGAGAAAATACAGAATTACTTTTCATTGGTTTCTTTGGGCTACCAATACGCAAAGAACTTATACTTTCATCTAAATCTGAATCGGAGTCATCTTTAACTAAATTCTGGTATTTATTGAAAGAAGATTTGGCAGTAACAGCTTCAGAAACACAACTGGGACTTTTAGTAATGACAGGGTTAACACAAAATGTAGAGTTATGTTTGGGTTTTGTCCAGATGCTATCACATCGTGATGAGAATGATTTACCATTTAGTAAGCCACTGTTCAATGGACTTATAGTCTCAGTAGATGAATCTGAAAAGTTGTGTAAACCAAATTTACTCAGCGACACATCATCATCGGTACCAAAGGATAAAGTATCTTCATCATCTAGCAATGGATAAGTTGTACCATTTGTAAGGTTCTTCATTCCCTTTGGCGTTCCAGAACTTCTTATAATTGTAGAGGCTTTAGTTTTCATCTTATTATACACTAATAGCACTATCAAAGTGCTGGACAGCTGTAACAATGAAAACCATAGATTTTTATACATTCAATTACATTATTTGATTATTATTTTTTATTATTCTATTATAAACTCACCTTAATTATACTCATAATAATTGGATCTATGGCAGTGGAATGATGAGCTACAGCGGTCAATACAAACACTGACCACAGTAAATCAATTAAAATTGTATACTTTTGTTTATTTACATTCCATATATGTCCTATTATTTGTAACAAACATACAAAACCACCTAGCGTTTTCTGCGTCAATATTATAATATTATCTAACTTACTAATATTAAAAGTAAATAGTTTTGGCCATCTATCATTATAAAATAATACATTGTCTAAGTCAATGAGGTAATTTTCTAATGATGGAAATGTCATCAATGTCTTCATTTTTATAATACAAGCTATTCTTTCTAGAAGACCAGATACAATTTCCTTTATGTTTGTTACAGAGGTATACAATTTCTTGTCTTTCATTATGTTTTTATGAAATTCTAATGTCACAGCAATAAATAACATGCCCGCTATTATCATCGAGGTGTTATTTATGAAGCTCTTAAGAACTTGACTTTGGTTGTCTTTGTGTTGGTTTCTCTTATCTGTGGATCTAGTCTCCAGTAATTTGGTAGCGAGAAGTGTCTGTTTCTCTTTGTAAAGCTTCATGTGGAGGACTCTTTTGCACGGGCTGCATAATTTGTAGGCTTTATCTAATTGCGCCCTGAAATGAAACATACCAAATATAATTATTTTGTGTTCACAATGTGCATATACAGATAAAATAATCAAATCAATCAATAATCATTGTCAATAATCATCTTATATAGAAATATAATAAAATTGTAACTATATGTTTGTACATGAGACATTTATGGAAAATCAATATGAGTGGTTTTAATAATAGCAATCAATAATTTTTGCCTGTCTGTATGTTTATTCTGGTCATGCAAAAACTACATCAAATTGGAAGCAATCTTCACAGTTAAAATTTTGATGAAATTTAATAATTGTACTGAACTCCAAGTAATAACAATTCTTAAATTTTTTATATTTTATGCATTACAAAATCCCAATCTTAGCTTGCTTTTAAAAGCATGCAAAAAATCTTATAAAAATAAACTACAAAATTATAAGCAATTAGTCACTACTTAGTTTTAACTTGGTTATACTATTGTGCACTTATTCTATAACCAATTGAGGTTAACATAATGCATAGTTCATTATTCACTCACTTTCTAGCCATATTATCTTTCATACATACATCTCTTAATAAGCATTTTTAGGTTTCTTTTCCTTATAACCATCCATATATGTAATTATTTACATATATTTTATTAGTAATTCATCATTTTCCTGCCCTTATCCCAATTATTTGAAGTCAATGTAATATGTTTTTACATATATTACTCAAGGTTTTATCTTTTAGTTTTACAACTGGCCATCTGCAGGACATAAACCCTCCTTAGGAATGTGTTTGTTGGTGATATTTGCTACCAACAAATCATATTTGAAGGAAAGGATCGAGGAAAAAGAAGGGGACTTTATTTTTACTTCCTGTAAAGGGACCTGGTAAAAAAAGAATGAAGAATTTATGGGGAAAAGAGAATATACTTTTTTATTAGTAATTATTAATTATGCTCACCTATATGTATCTATTTCTTCATCATATTTCTTCTCATTTATTGGCACGAAGCTTGCAAGCTGTGCCACCTTCAACTGCTGATTTATGTTGCACATCTTACAGAGACCATTTTTTGGAGGACTTTTCTGAAACACTTTTGGCGTACTAAACGTTTGCTCATTTGTAGTGATAATAGGTTTATTGTAATCACCGTCCTAAAAAACATATATTTGATCAACATATTGATTTAAGAAAAGTGAAATTTGACTTAAAATATAATGAATGTCGAACCTTAGTGAATCCATTATACTGGTCACAATTAGGGCAAGTCCAAGAATTCCGATGTAAGTATTTTATCCAAAAATTATTGTTACAGAACCAACAGTTCACACGCCACGGTACTGCTGACCTACATCAAAGAATATAAAATTAATTATGATATTTTAACAGGCGGGAAAGCGGTATGTTATATGCACACTTACTTTAATTTGTAAAGTAATTTGAATACAAGAATACTGCACAAAACAGTTATTAGTAGAACCAACACTAATTCCATAATATGGCTAATTTTCATATTTCCTAAATATTACTTAATATATTTTATAGAAAAACTTCATATTTCCTTAACCTAAAAGCACGCTAAATTCAACCACAGAGGGTGTAATGTCCAGTCACAGAGAATAGGAGCCAGCCACAGATAAAATATATCCTACCTAAATCACAGATAGATAATTATTACAGTTTTTGTGATCTTCGTACTAAGAACAAGGAATTACATAGAAGGAATAATAAAATAAAAACTGTAAATCATATGGTTGCCTTCTTTCTTTTTATACAAATATAATTAGTAAAAAATACCTGCTATAAATTGAGAAAAATAGCAACTAATGGTGTATCTTTCGTTCTTTTTTTACTAATTATATTGGCATAAAAAGAAAGGGGGCACCCATATGCTCATACATTGCTCCTCCCCATCCTTGACTACGCCGATTCCTGTTATTCAAATGTCACTGAAGAGCAGTTAAATAAACTTGAGCGTCTTCAAAATTTATGTATACGGTTCATATTTGGACTTCGCAAATATGACCATGTATCCCAATATCGTACACGACTCAAGTGGCTCTCTATCCGTCTTCGTCGTAACTGGCACATCCTTTCCCTTCTTTACTCAATTCTCTTTAATCCAGTTACACCTCATTATTTAAAAGAACGTTTTATGTTTCTTGGAGAGAGCAATTCTAATTCTTATTCTTTACGTAGTACTGACAACCTCCAACTCATAATTCCTACCCATTCTTCCTCTTTCTACTCCAAATCCTTTTCCGTGCAAGCAGTTCGTTTGTGGAACTCACTCCCTACCCCTATACGGTGCGCTCAATCGTTGCCCATTTTTAAAAACTTAGTTAAAGCCCACTACCTATCCTTATAATCACTTAGTCCTACGTATTTCCAGTTTTATGTGTGTTATATATATGTGTATTAATATGGTATATTTATATGTATTTATGCGTATATATGTATATGTATGTATATTTATATGTGTATGTGTATGTATATATATGTATATGTTTGGTTGTATGTGTTTATTTATGTATGTATATGTATATGACTATGCTGTCACAAATATTATTTTTTACAAATCTATCTTTTTTAACGCGCCACCTACCTACTTATGCTTTAATCCTTTCTACCCAAAGGTTGTCTGGAAGAGATTGCTTAGCAATAAGACCGCCTTTTGTACTACACTATACGTATTGAAAATTGTTTTAACAAATCATGTTATGTTGGTGCAATAAAGTGTTAAATAAATAAATAAAATAAATAAATATGAGGTACAGTTTTTATTTTATCATTCTTTCTATATAATTCCTTGTTCTTAGTCTATGAATTAAGAAAATAATAGCACCTGTAATCCTTAATCTATGACAGTAGTAGAAAATGTTAAATGTCATTTGTCAAATAGTTCGTTTTGACACTTTATAAACTTGATTCCTCACATATTGTTTTGACATTTATTTATTATTGAGGTTATCATATAAAGAATTTATTTTAAAAATTGAAATTGTATTTATTATAAATGTACGAATAATTATTACGATTTCAAATATAATTCAAAGTATTACCTAAGAAATAATAGTTGACTAATATTATGAAGTGTAGCGATAGCAATATTTTGCTTTTGTGCAATTTCGATGATCAACATGTTGGTGGTATGTACGTTTATTATATGTTAAAAATAATAAAAAATAATGAAGTAATAATTTATATGAATTATATTAAAAAATTATTTCCGCTAATCTGTCACGGCTAATCATAAATAATTTCGCACTTTTCAGATCACAAAGAAGATAAATTTATCAGTAACATGTGGTCTGGAATATGGTCAATAGATGAAACTGATGTATGTAAAACCTTATTGGATACTAAACTTGACATAGATTCGCTTGTACAATACATAAACTCATGGAAAGACGAAAATTGTATTGAACCAATCCTATGTATCGCAATTAAATCATTCTTGACATTTTGTGACCAAAATTGGAATCCGCACCCAGATAAATTGGATTTAGACAACTACTTACGCTCAAATTGGCCTAAAGATATTGATGCCACACTAAAACTACAGAGAGATTCGGAACCTGTTTTTGTAAACATTTTATATCCAGAACTTCTATATTTCTCTCTACAAATATTTAGAGCACTGTATACAATAGAGGAAAATTTGGTGAGTGTGATTGATAGCCTTTTTTTAGTTTTAAATTTTTTCATGACTAGTTCCTAAAGGAGTAGTAAAAAGTGTTTCGTTGACAATTGGTATCATGGTGAGTATAACCATGAGTATGCTAGCATATTGCTGAGCATATTTCAACTGAACATATAAAAGAGAGTCTACTAGTCACTCAATATTAATTTAGGTTTTTGTAGATATTTCTCCTCACTCAATAGTTTGTTGGAAATTTGAATTGACACAAAGTTATTGGTATCAGTCAAATTTAAAATGACCATATCTATTCATATATAGAATCATAGTATATGGCTGGGTCAATACATTTGCTTTTGTATTCAAATATTTTATTATTTTTTTTTTAATGGATGATAACAGAATGGTAACCCGGCCTGCTCTAACGGTATACACTGACGGGGCACCAGTGAGAGATGATAGGTGAGAATGAAAGTGCAGGTCAGTTAGCCATCATGATGAATAAACTTGGAGTTCAGCGCAATGATTTCCAGGGGGGAGGAACACATGGAGGTCAACCTGACATGATATATTGTTAGCAATAGGACTAGTAGTATGCATTACTAACATACCCTTCCCTCCATGTTTTATTGCCACAAGTTATATCTGATGTAATTAAATGAGACAGAAGCATTGTCTATTATTGCTACTTGTTTAGATCAATTATATAACTGATTGTAATCTATTGCTTTGCTTCTTTTAAGACAAAAAGTATATGCTAATCTGTCTTGGATCTATCTGTCTGCCAAATTTTACTCAAATCTGTCAATCAATTTAGTGAAAGTCATCACAGATATTACATTGTAATATTAAATAATTATATTGTAAATTATAATGTAGTGTCTGATTGTTTGTAATCCATACAAATAGCCTTATATCCTAATATTATTAATATGAAAGTTTGTATGTTTGTTACCTCTGCTAAAAGGTTTTTGTAGTGATCCATTAAGCCATTAACAGCTAGTGTCTTAATGGCTTAACCAGTTACTATGAAATTGGGCATATACTTACTATGCAGGATGGAGAAGGACACAGGATAATTTTATCCTTGTCAGTGAAACTATCCAGAATGCGCAGATAAATTTGTGGGTAAAAGCTAGTATTTTTTCTTTAATCTAATTTTTGTTGAGGCTTCAGTACACCTGGGTGCCACCCTCAAAGAATAAAAGCTATTTACGTTATAATATTAAGTGAGATAGGTCTTTTATAAATGAGGTAAAAATAGAATGTGTTACTGTACTTTTTATACTATACATATATACTCTATATACTCTAAAGGGATAAAGCATAATACACCAATGTGAGATGTGAAAAAATGAACTTTTTGGCCGAAGTCACTATAGTTGGCTTATATCTTTTTATGAGAAAAAACACATATCCAGCATTATTTAATTATTACAAAGATGATGACGAAATAAGGTTTTATATAATTTTCAGCTGCACCTCTGGTGGTATTTCAGAACAATAGTAGTACATCAGAGGGCGCTGGAGGACACCAGTGCAACACTGTATGCTGAACTGGAGCTTATCATAGCAAAGCTTACAAATGAGCTGCAGAAACTACAGGACAAACCAAGATTACAAATTTTGCTGTCTCTGGAAATTGCACAGGCATTTCTGATTTATGCTAGGATACATAAAGTTGAGGAGTACTTATCAAAGGCAAGAGAAATAGCTGGCTTGAAGCTGGAGCTCACAGGTAAATATACATTTCATCTATTTTACATTTCCAGTAGTCAACATTATAATTTTTATCAGCTGATATTGTACTCAAACAATATGTATTAGTTCTAGATTAGGCTTAAAGATTATGTATATTTATGATCTAAAAATTACTTTTAAATCATAAATCTATTGATATAAAGTTGTATTAACTTACAATTATATATATATATACTATAACAAAACTGGCCAGGTGCAATTTGAACTTACATGCTGAGGGTTCTGTACATTAATATGACCTTTATAGCATATCTTATATGAAATAGAGTCTTGATAGTTATTATTAGTGATACTACAATGTAATAATATTTAATTTCACATTTGTTGCAATAAATTTTGCATATGTAAAACAATTCCAAATTTTAAATCAATAGATATAAATGCTGTGATAAGTCTTCCTTTCTAGAGAACCATAGTCATTGTTTTAGATTTATAATAATAATAATTGTTAAATAACTTTAAGTATAGACACAGCATTTGAAATATGTATGTATGTATATTATTATATATTTTGTAATACATTTTTTCAAAATTATCATAATTGTGTACAACATCCTACATTTATTTTGTACAGGTATATTAGGTAAAAGAACAAAGTTTCAACAGCGATCTTTACCACAATTAGCATTATTTAGTGAACTGGACTTGAGTGTGGATCGTCCGTCAGCTGAAGAAAGCCATGGTTCATCAGAGCTTCCACCAGAGATTGAATTACAAGACGATGTGCGACTGAATAAGATTGATTATAATGAGAAGATTACCCAAGCAGAGCTACCCAGCTTGGAGCAGATTTTATGTTTGTTGACTGTGTAATTACTCTTTTTTTATTTTTTTTAATACAATATAGAATGGCAAACAAGCTAACAACCCACCTGATGGAAAATACCTTATTACTAGCAATATACTCTATTAGGTCCACATCCATGTGATTCCCGCTTGAAACTTATATTAGTTAATAGTTTGTTGAATTCGTCATGATAGGCTGATTGACCTTCTTTCATTCTCACCTAGAGCCCCGTCAGTCACCATTTCACTTTGACCTATAAAAAGAAGTCACTCTGATTCCCATGGTACACCATATATACATTGCCAATCTTGAGGATCATATTGCCTTAAATGTACTTTTTCCGTTTCTTAATCATCCCTTCAATGCTGAGTGTTGAGGCTTTATTTATCATATAAATTATCTCTCTTAATCTGTGAATTTATTATTTACGACAGTGAATCCATTTATAAAATAAATTAATTACCATTTTTGTAACATACTATTTTTATTATCATGACTTATTTACTAATTTTATAAAATAGATGTTGTTCGCGACATTATTTGTATATATGTAATCGTAATTTATAGTTGTTAAGTCCTAGTTAATCGTTTCTGTATTCTGTTATTTTATATAGATTTACATAGATTTAAGATAGTGTAAGTTAAATAAAGTATTCCTTTGCGTGTTGTCATTATTACCTACGAATAGAAATTGTAACAATAAATAGAATTAAGAAATTGTAAATTGAAATAAAATAAATAAATAGACGCTATAGAGTACCGATCTGAAGAGACACGCGTCTCGTTCATTTTCGCCCCGTCCCGCTCGCACAGATCGCTATCGCGAGTTGGAAACGTTATCGTGCGAGCGGGCGGGTATAAAGATAGGCCGCCTCCCGTCGAGCGGCATTCGCTTCCGGGCAGCGGCGCACTACACTCGAGAAGAAATAGGACAAGAAGAAAAAATACTCTCTTCAGACGGTACCGGAGGCTTCAGAATAGTAATCCCTGTGTTTCACTCCAGCCTGAACCAACGCCCCTACAGTCCACGCTCACCGTACGGCAGTCCACACCGTTCATTGTGGTCCTTCGAGAAGCCGGATTGCTGGAGGAACACCGTTGGTACATCGAGAAGCCGGATCGCTGGAGGAAGACCATTCTGAAGCCGGATCGCTGAAATGCCGACTACGAGAAACATGAAGTCGTCGCAACAAAAAATCGCCGTCACCGAAGCCACAACGTCCGCCGCCACCACGTCGACTACGGCCGCCGGAACGCTGTCCGTCGCTGCCACGCCGTCCGTTGCTGCCACCACGTCGTCTGCGGCTGTCAGAATGCCTTCTGTCGCTGCCACGTCGTCTACCGCCGCCACCACATCGACTGCGAACACGTCCGGCGATACGACGACCACAGGAGCCACGGAGACTACCGAAGCCACAGGAACGACAGAGGAGACAGCAAGGAAGAAGGAACCGAAGCACGGCACGGCACGCACGGTTCGCACCACGGCCTCGCAGAAGAAGAAGGCTCTGGCCAAGGCACGGGAGGAGCTACTTCGAAAGGAGGTGGAATTGGCCGCCGCACGTGTCGCCGCCCTGGAAGCCGAATCAGAGGACGACGAGGAAGTAGAAGACGACGACGCTACCGTCAGAAGAGAACGAACGTCGGATTGGGTTCGTCGAAGCACGCTGGCACTCACAATGGAGCCGCATGTACCAGAGATAGAAGAAGTCACCGGCAAGCGTCAGGGGTTCGTCCCATCGAGACCCGTTGAAGAGGATTCGAGAGCGCCGCCGCCACAGCCGAGCAGCGACGCACTTCACCGGGACCACGCACGCCACGTTGACCCACATGCCGCCATGCCTACGATAGCAGCAGCGATGCAGTCGATGAAGAAAGAAGAACCGGTGCTGAAGGTGGGCATCGATTGTAATGAGTTTGCGATCGCCATGCAGATGGCCGCTCGCAACATACTGCCCTCCACAGCGTCAAGAGTCACCGAGTTGCCAGTCTTCAATGGATCGTCGAGCGAGTGGTTACCATGGAAGATGGCCTATGAAGAGAGCGCAAGTCAACTCACAGAACAAGAGAACCTAGCAAGACTGCGCAGAAGCTTGAAGGGGGCCGCAAAGGACGCGGCACGCTCCCTATTCGTCGGGTCTACGACCGCAGAAGAAGTAATGAAGATGTTAGCCGCGAGGTTCGGCCGCCCTGGAGCACTCGTCACAGCCGAACTGAACAAACTCCGCGCGCTACCACGACTCTCGGACAACGCAAGAGACGTCTGCCTCTTCGCAAGCAAGGTGCAGAACGTCGTCGCCACGATACGAGCGCTGAACAAGAGTCACTACCTATACAACGAAGAAATAGTGAGAAACGTCACAGAGAAGATGCCGTCGGTACTACGCTTCAAGTACTACGATTTCGCCAACGACCAACCGGAGGGACAACCGGACCTCATAACACTCTCTCAGTTCCTGCAAAGGACCGCCGCACGATGTGGAAACTTCGCCCCCGCCGAGGAGATACCGTCCGAAGACCGGCGGGAGTCCGCTCCTAGGAAGACGGCGAAGACATACACGACGCAGGAGAAACCCGCTACACCACCGTGCCCGATGTGTCGACGAGAGGGACACGCTCCATCGGACTGCAAGACGATGAAGGAAGCGGACACATCGGCGAGATGGGAGCTAGCGAAGACTCATAGGCTGTGTTTCCGTTGCCTCAAAGTGAGAAGATTTCGCCACGCCTGCAAGAGCAAGAGATGTGGAGTAGATGAGTGCACGCAGACTCATCACCCTCTGCTGCACACCACGCGACAACAGCCGGAGAATGAAGTGACAACACACGTCGTCGAGGACAAGTCCGCCGCAGTCACCGCATCGGCAAGGGAAAACGACAAGATCGCGTTCCTGAAGATCCTGCCGATACGAGTCACCGGTCCCACGGGAACGTGCGACACCTACGCGCTACTGGACGACGGGTCGACTTGCACCATCATCGAGACGACGGTGGCGGAGCGAATCGGTGCTACGGGTCCCCCGCACCATTCTACATGGAAGGTGTGGCCGGGGCGCGGATCAACGCAGCTCAATCGACGCGTGTTCACTTCAAGATCCGCGGGCGGAATTCACAAGAATACACAGTGGGGGCACGGACGATGGACAGACTGCAGTTATCACCGCAGTCGGTACCACGCAGCGTCATCAAGGGCTGTCCACATCTGCGGGACATAGAGAGGGAATTGGTCTACGAAGAGGGCAAACCGACGGTACTGCTGGGGCAAGACAACTGGCACCTACTGCTGGCCCACGAAGTCAGAAGAGGATCCGACACGCAGCCGGTCGCATCACTCACCGACCTGGGATGGGTACTGCACGGTACGAGTCGCGGCAGGACAAGACAGCAGGTGCACAGAATCAGCCACATAGTGACGACACATGAAGAGGAACAATCGATGGAAGAAATGATGAAGCAACATTTCGCGCTCGAATCGCTGGGAATCGCACCGAAGAAGTCTTACAATGAAGAGGAACGTCGCGCCCTACGCATTTTAGAGGAGAAAACTCGTCCGTTACCGGCGGGAGGATACGAGACGGGGTTATTATGGAAGAAGGACGACCCTGTGCCGCCGGACAACTACGAATCGGCAATGCGACGTCTCCAACTGGTCGAAAGGAAACTCGACAAGAATGAAGAAATTAAGAAGAGGTATGAACAACAAATGGACACGCTACTCAAGAACGGGTATGCCGAAGTCGCCCCGCCACGGAGTTCCCAACGGGTGTGGTACCTGCCACACTTCGCCGTCATCAACCCGCAGAAACCGGGGAAACTGCGGATCGTGCACGACGCAGCAGCCAAGACGAAGGGCATCAGTTTGAACGACATGCTGCTGCCGGGCCCCGACTTACTTCAATCGCTACCGGGGGTCCTCATGCGGTTCCGGCAACGACGGGTGGCAGTCACGGCGGACATAAAGGACATGTTCATGCGGGTCACCATACGGGAAGAAGATAGGGACATGCAACGGTTCCTGTGGCGAGGAGATCGACGAGAGGGTCCACCTGTGGAATATAGGATGAAGAGTGTCATATTCGGCGCAACATCGTCACCGTGTACAGCAATCTACGTCAAGAACAAGAACGCAGAACAGTACAAGGAAGAGTTCCCGGAGGCAGCAACGGCGGTGGTCATGAACCACTACGTCGACGACTACCTCGCCAGCTTCGACACGGAAGAGCAAGCCGTACGCGTCTCAAGACAGGTCGCACAGATCCACGGTCGAGCCAACTACTATCTCCAACGGTGGGCGTCGAACTCGCATCAAGTGCGCGCCGCGTTCTCCGACACCGGCGGGGACAGCGTGGTACAACTCGACGCGGAGAAGATACTGGGGATGGTATGGCGACCTTCTGAAGACACCTTAGGCTTCAACTTCAACGACCACAAGCTTCCGCCACAGATAGCCAGCGGGGAACAGACGCCGACGAAGAGGGAAGCGCTACGAGCGATTATGTCGCTGTTCGATCCACTGGGCCTCGCCACTCCCATCACCATACAGGCGAAGAAGATATTGCAGGAGACGTGGCGTACCGGTATCGACTGGGACACCGAGCTGCAACCACGGGAAGCGGACGCCTGGCGGAGCTGGATGGACCACGTGCGACGGCTGTCCGCGCTGGAGGTGCCGCGGTGCTACCCGGAGGTAGCCACGGCCGATACAGCGGAGCTGCATACATTCGTCGACGCCAGCTCGGACGCGTACGCCTGTGCCGTGTACTGGCGGGCCGTAAGCGCGACCGGCGAGGTCCACGTGTCGCTGATCGCGGCAAAGGGACGAGTGGCCCCACTCAGCAAGGTGACCACGATACCGCGACTGGAGCTGCAAGCGGCCGTCCTCGGGTGTCGCCTATCGCGCACGGCAGTCGAAGAACACGACCTGAAGCCCGCTCGCCGAGTATACTGGTCGGACTCACGCACCGTGCTCGCATGGCTACGCACCGGTCCTCGCGCATACAAGCCGTTCGTCGCGCATAGAGTCGCCGAGATCGTCGAAGAAACGAAGACGAACGAGTGGAGATGGATACCGACGCGGCACAACGTAGCAGACGACGCCACACGCGACCCACCGACGGACTTCGGCTCGCAGCATAGATGGTTCCGTGGGCCGGACTTCCTGTACCTCCCCGAAGAGCAGTGGCCGCGTGAAGATAGTACGAGCGACGATAGTCAAGCGGAAACGGGAGAAGAACGCGTACACAAGCTACAGAACGCGACGCAGTTGTCTATAGCATTACCCGATCCGTCACGTTTTTCTAATTGGTTGAAACTTGTTCGCAGTTCAGCACGGGTGTTGCAGTTCATCGACCTCCTGCGACCGACCAGTCAACGCTGCACCGCCATCCGAAAGAGAAACAAGAAGAAAGAGAGCGCCGACCCCACTTGGACCCGCACGAAGAAAGTCGATAGAGAGAAGACGAAGATGAAAATCAAGAACAGCAATAGTCCATCTGTGTGTTTCATCCCCATAGACACACACTACCTAGATCGCGCGCGACGGCTATGGATTCGCGCGATACAACAAGAGGCGTTCGGCGACGAAATCGCAGCATTGAAACATGGGAAACAGCTGCCGTCATCCAGTCGACTCATACAGCTGTCGGTCGTCATAGACAACGACGACATTCTGCGACTTCGATCGAGGATAGCAGCCGCCGCCGATCTGTCAGCCGAGCAACGAGAGCCCCCATCGTCGACGGAAACCACGCCTGGGTGCGCCTATACATCGCATGGGTGCATCGGAAACTTCACCACGGCGGCTTCGAGATCACCACGAACGAGGTGCGACAACACTTGTGGGTGTTGCGCCTACGACACGCCGTCCGCAGTGAACTGAAGAGGTGTCAGCTGTGCCGCCTACGAAGAGCAAGACCGGCGCAGCCGTCAACGGGCAACCATTCACAGAGCAGGCTGGCGCATCATCAACGACCGTTCACGTTCACCGGCCTAGACTACTTCGGGCCTATGACCGTGACAGTGGGCCGCACTCGCCAGAAACGATACGGAGTGCTCTTCACCTGCCTAACGACGCGCGCAGTCCACCTAGAAATCGCCGGCAGCCTCAGCACGGACTCCGCCATAATGGCCCTGCGGCGCTTCATAAGCCGCAGAGGGTGTCCCACTGAGCTATGGTCCGACCAAGGCACCAACCTCAAAGGTGCTGACGTCGAACTGAAGAAAGCAGCCGAGGAAGCCATCCAAGAAGAGTCATCAGTCCATTTCATCCGGTGGCGCTACATTCCCCCGAGCGCACCCTTCATGGGAGGTGCGTGGGAACGGCTGGTGCGTAGCGTGAAGACCGCACTAGCCGCTACGTTGAACGAGCGGGCGCCCAAGGAAGAAGTCCTCCACACTCTGCTGGTCGAGGTCGAGCACACCCTCAATAGTCGACCGCTAACCCACGTGTCAACATCGGCAGACGACGACAGCGCCCTAACCCCCAATCACTTCATATTGGGCGGTCCATCGCGCGTCCCACTGCCAGGCAGCTTCACAGAGAGCGACGCGGCAGGACACAAGGAGTGGCGTGCCAGCCAGAGGCTAGCTGACTGCTTCTGGAACCGGTGGGTGAAGGAGTACCTACCCGAGTTGCAACACCGGCGGGAGCCCCGAGCTACACACGGAGCCATCAAAATGGACGACCTGGTCCTAATAGCTGATGGGACCTTGCCTCGCAACACGTGGCCGCGAGGCGTGGTGGTGACGACCTACCCTGGACCAGACGGCGAGATCCGAGCAGTCGACGTGCGGACGAACAAGGGCATCCTACGGCGACCCACTAAGAAGCTGATCATACTGCCCACATCGACATCGAGCGACGCGAACACGAGTTAACTCCAGCTACGAGAGCTGCGGCGGGAGATTATGTTCGCGACATTATTTGTATATATGTAATCGTAATTTATAGTTGTTAAGTCCTAGTTAATCGTTTCTGTATTCTGTTATTTTATATAGATTTACATAGATTTAAGATAGTGTAAGTTAAATAAAGTATTCCTTTGCGTGTTGTCATTATTACCTACGAATAGAAATTGTAACAATAAATAGAATTAAGAAATTGTAAATTGAAATAAAATAAATAAATAGACGCTATAGAGTACCGATCTGAAGAGACACGCGTCTCGTTCATTTTCGCCCCGTCCCGCTCGCACAGATCGCTATCGCGAGTTGGAAACGTTATCGTGCGAGCGGGCGGGTATAAAGATAGGCCGCCTCCCGTCGAGCGGCATTCGCTTCCGGGCAGCGGCGCACTACACTCGAGAAGAAATAGGACAAGAAGAAAAAATACTCTCTTCAGACGGTACCGGAGGCTTCAGAATAGTAATCCCTGTGTTTCACTCCAGCCTGAACCAACGCCCCTACAGTCCACGCTCACCGTACGGCAGTCCACACCGTTCAGATGTACTAAATTAATTTTTATAACTGCCCACAAGCAAATGATCTACCTTATAGAAAATAGTATATTATAGGTTATTATAGGTAATCGCCACCTACAGATGTGGACTGAACTATCAACATCACAGTGTACTCTGTGACATCCTCATGGGTTATTATACCTGAGGACTAAGGTGTTATACCTTCATAGTTTCATACCATATAATTTCACTGCCCGAGAGATTGAATATTAGCGTTATTGCTTTGCTAGAGAAATATACGCATTTTTAGTAATACGCCTATGTCTTACAAAATTCGAATATCAAACAAAAATATAAATTTAATTGAGTATTTTGTTTCTTTTTTTTTTTCAGACAATACATTCAAAAGTCACAGCCCAAAGACGATTTGATGTATGAGGAGCTGCAGCCGTACATCGAAGCTGTACTATCACAGAAGAAAGGCGCGTGGGCGACGCGCGTGGCCGCCCTGCTGATCCGCTGCAAGCTGGAGGCGGGCCACAAGCGGACCGTCGAGCGCGCCATGCTGCAGTGCGAGACTATTGTCAACGACCGCACTGGGGTCGCCTCCACTACCAGGTCAGATTTCTATCATACTTAATACCACAATCTGGGAGGGGGAGAGGGATTGTTAATAACTGACCCATTGCTAGCAATACACCCTCAGGTCGACCTCCATGCGGTTTTCCCTGGAACCATCGTGGTTAATTCTAGTGGAATTCGTCACGATGGGCTAACTGACCTGCTTTCGTCGCCACCTATCATCCCTCACTAGTGCCCCGCTAGTGGATAGCGCAGGCGAGGTTACCATTCCATTATCACCCATTAAAAAAAACCACAATCCTGAGGAGAAAGGTCTTCTCAAAAACGGGGTCTAACAGTCCCATTGCTAGCATTAAACCCTATCAGGTCAACCTCCATGCAGTTCAGCCAGGAAACTGTTTTGGTTAATTCTTGTCAAATTTGTCATCCATCCCACGTAATATTGTCATAGTCGTAGAATACTGACAGATCTTTATATGCAATAATTGTCAGATCCGTCAGTATTCTACGACTATGACGATATGTGTATTATATAGTATAATTTATAGTGATTGGTTAAGCCGTTAAGGCGCTATAAGGAACAAATAAACTCACTTTTACGTTTATAATATTAGTAAGCATGTAAACATGAGCATGTTTTTTTTATTTTATTTAAATTTGTTGTGCCAACCCCAAATAATATGCTTATTTATTAATTTAATTGACTCTATATTGCATCGAAATAATGCATAAAAATATACAATAATAATGAGAAAGTTCAATGTTTAAAAGATGATATTAATGATTTACTTTTCAGATTGTCATATCTTTGGGCGAGCGGGTTACAACCTGCTTGGTCTTGGAGGCAGCAGCTGGCAGACCTCTACGTGAGCTTGGGTCTTATAAAAGCAGCGCTCGAGGAATACCAGAAGCTACAACTTTGGGAGGATATTATAGTATGCTATACCATATTACAACTACGGCACAAGGTAATTACAAAATATGTATTTGTATGTTACAATTCAGAGACATTATGTCTGAAACAGCGAAATTTAACAATTTTCCCCAAGGGCCATCATCATATTGGCCGTTATTCGTCCACTCCTAAACATAGACCTCCCCCATAAGGGGGTTTGTCCCAGTACTTGCCACGCTTGACAGGCGACTTGGCGATCGCAGTTAGGCTTTTGGTGATGTTTTAAGGGCCATATATTGATATAATTATAAAGATTATTTATAAGATGTTTTATTTAATAAAAATGTTAATTTATATTGATGGGGTTCTGACCCCTGAACTACTCGCAAACTGTTTCGGCCTTCTAGACAAGTGGCAAGCGAATTCTCTCTCTTCGTCTCACGGACTCGATAGCGATGTTGATTCCATCGACGAATTCGCTTGCCACTTGTCTAGAGGGGCAGGTTACAAACTTTTCGCCCCAAAAATGAGGATTTAAAGTTTAAAAGATATTTTGTGTAAAACTACTCAAATAAAGTTTATTTAAATTTAAGACACATTTTTTTTTATTCCAGGCAGCGGAGGTCATTCAACAGCAAATCGATGTAAACCCCACAGTGAAATTGTACTGCTTGCTTGGCGACGCTACAGGTATTGTACCTTTTTTTCAATCAACTTGAATAGGGGCATCTTTTGCAATTTGACTATTTTTTTTTATTATTGAGAACTATATTTTAATGGTTATTTTATAATCAAAAAGTTTTTATTGATCTCATAATAATTTTATCAAATAAATAATTTTTTTATGTTCGTCGTGTATTATTTATGTTACCATGATTTTCACTGGTTAGCTTTTTTGCATAAAAAATTTGCGATTAGGAGCGACAGAAATTTCGAAAAAAATTGTGATAATTAATAAATATATAATTTTTCAATTATCTATTACACAGATGATGTATCCCACTATAAAAAAGCATGGGAGTTCTCAAATCGTAAAAGCAGCAGAGCTCAGAGACACTGGGGCAACTTTCTGTTCAGCCACAAGGAGTATGAAGAGTGCATTCCACATTACGAGAAATCAGTCGAAATTAATTCTATACAGGAGAGTGTTTGGCTCAGATTAGGGTAAGTACATATTTAATATATCTCTCTATTTCATTATCTCACGTCCATTACATTTGGAGTCGAATGCCCTCATTAGCATTAAGATTGCCGGTTCCGATTTTGAGTCAACTTAATGTTTATTTGGTTTTCTTTCTGTTCGTTTTGACTATAATCCGATGCATCCGAACCTATTAAGAGAAAGACCTAAAAAAAACTATCATTTCTGAACATCGTATTGGGAGGGGGGGGGGGGGGAAGGATCGTTCTAATTCCAGGATGCATGCGTAACTTTGCAAAGACATATTTGAAAGTACAAATGTATCTTTTTTTAAGGGCCAGGCCTCACTTGAAAGTAGTTTTAAGTATGTCAATGTTACCTCCTTCTACTGTACTAAAAATTAATTATGTATTAGTATTAAAATAAATGTAAGTTAATATAAGTGATTTTATTACAAAAAATTCTGAGTAACAACGTATCAATAAACAAGTCTATCTTAGGTAACATTGCATAATCAACTCGTTTTAGTTTTTCCATTGACGTAAACAAACTAATTCTCATTATTATCACTATTATAATATATATATTTGCAGGTACGCAGCATTAGTGACTGAAAAATGGGAGACGTCAGCGCGTGCGTACCGTCGTTACACGTATCTCCAGCCGAACACGTTCGAAGCGTGGAACAATCTAGCCAAAGTGTACGTCAAGCAGGGAGACAAGAAGCGTGCTTACAAAGCGCTGATGGAGGCGCTCAGATTTAACTATGACAATTGGAAGGTACTGTTTTCTGTTTATAAGTATAAGTATTTAGTATGAAGTTATAAAGGTTACAATTCAGCCAGACAAAGTTTTAATGTGGTCCAGACGTGGTCTCAAGGTGGAACAGACTAAACCACTGAAACATTCAAATAGATGTGGTCCTTGTAACAAATAACAGCTTGTTTCAAAATAACATGTTATATTGAAATAGTCTTTTAATAAGACTGTTTTAGAGCATAGAACAGCTGCGATCTCTTTCTAACATAGGTTAACTCCATATGCTAGATACGATAAGAGCATGTTTCGTGTTAAGTCGATGTGATCGGTTATACAACTGGAACAGCTATTACGATTTCAATGGAACGGTACCGATTTTTTTAAAATCTGTTATTGTGTTTGGCAGTTCCGATATATGCCTTACCTCTATTTTCCAATGAATGTTTGGATCATTTAAAAATGACTCTTCACGTGCTTTGAAGGGTATGTAAAGTTGTCATGTAGTAAAAACACATATAGGCCTTCGTATCATAAAAGGGAGCTAGAAATTTAACGTCAGATAAACCATTCTATTATCATCTATTAAAGATATACTTTGACAACCCAATTTTTTGTTATTTATAATGGAATAATATTTCTGCCAGCATTATTGATTATATTACTTTAATATAAACATATTTCATTGTATTTTACCGTTTGAATTGTGAAGAGAAAATAAAATGATGTATTATTATTATTATTATATTGGCTTTTGATAATGTTATTTTTAGTTATGGGAGAATGTAATACTAGTTAGCATCGACACCGGCCACTTTGAGGACGTAATACGCGGCTGCCACCGCATGCTAGACCTCCAGCACAAGTATGAAGATATAGACGTGCTGTCGCTTCTCGTTCGCGCTATCGTGCAAGATGCTAAGGACGCTGATGGGAATAGTACCGCCAGGTAATTGCTCAATTACAATAAAAGAACATCTCGATCTCATAATGATGAATTTGGGTATGTCGCGGTTTAACCTACCACCTCATTTTCCAATGGTCGCTGGTTCGATTCCTACACAATGCAAATATTTATATTCATAAATAAATATATTTATTTATTTGTTATAATTTCTTTTTACCTTTTTGTTTTCTTTGCCTAAGTGTTTATATATTTTTTAATCACCTTCAAAAAAGAAGGAGGTTCTAAATTTGATTGTGTTATTATGTATATGTTTGTTTCCTCAGAACTCCATCATTTTCGATTACATTCCATTGGGATCTTATTGACCCTACATTTTATTGTTAAAATTAATTTAATAACTATCGGTTTAACTTACGTGTAATTAGATGAAAAAAAGCTCTAGTAGTTCCGAAATCAATTCGTGATCCTTAGTTATGAACGACTGACGTGAGTACGAACTTGACTGACAGTTAGGCTCGTGCTCTCGTCACAGTACCCTACATTATTTTTCTTTTTTTTAGATTAAGAAAACGGGTGTTGGAATTATTTGGTCGAATCACATCAGTACATCAGAATAAGCCGGAGATATGGCAGCTGTACTCAGATTTAAGTCCAACTTACTTGTTAAAAGCGCAGCGACTACTTAAAGCTTATAGAGGTTTCACACAGGTAAACAACGTAAAAAGTTAATAAATCAATTTAAATAATTTTTTTTTTATTTTATTAATGTTTTTATTATAATTAGAGACAATTTGATATTATTTGTAACGTTTTTATAACGTCTTTTATAAACTAAGCCATTAAACAGTAAAAATAAGGTTGCCTGGAAGATTTTTGCTATTTATTTAGCAATAATTTATTTATTGTGGATAGTTTCACATTTTCCGGAACATTTTAATTTTTAAAACTAACAATGTGATCCCTTACCAACTATATTAAATGTTTGTGCTTTCACATTTTCAGAGTGACTGGACCAACAGCCCCGAAACATGTAAGAAAGTCATAGAACTCGCTCAAACGCTTCTTGACTACAGTATGAAAGCTAGGAAAGAAACAGAAGACAAAGAAAAACTGCAATGCGATCAACAACTGTCGTCAGCCAGACTGACTGCGCAAGGTGTCATACGCGCCGTCGAAAAGCAAGATTGGCCAGAAACGAAAACTGCCCTAGAGGAATTGAAGAATGTTTTCTCTGAAATAACTGAATATATGAAATCAATTATGTAAAAGAGTGTTTATTTTGTAACATAGTATTGACGTATCCCATCAGTACCAGTCATCTATATCATCAGTAGCAGTGTTTCACTCTCACATTCCTGCAGTCTATTTTAAAGGTAGTTTGATATTTAATAAAAATGAAATTTGAACATACGCAACGCGTATAAGTAATTTTTTAATGTAATGATAAAATTATCTAATGTCGTAAACGTATCGACGCTGTCTTTTTTGTACAATTTAGGAATAAAATTTACTTAATTCCTAAGAGTGTTATAAAGGATCGTTTTAAATTATATTGCATTCCAAAGAATTGGAATAAAGAGAGGCAGATGATGTTAGTCAGATATTTTATTAATTTATTTTTTTTATTACAATTAGTGCATTAATTTCTAACTGAAATATAAAAGGTAAATCCATTTGTAACTTATAAAAAGAATTTATTTCAAATTTTCTATATCTACGAAGTATGGGACTTAAGAACAAGGCCAATCTTTGCTGGGGACATAATTTTATTATCTGTGGTCGTCATATGTCAATTGATTTGTGCATTATGCATCAATTTGTCTCACTGACATTGACAGTTAGTCTTGGTAATTGGTGGGAGTGATTCAATTACATTATTTCAATTTACTTTTCTAGTTTATATTACCATTATTTTTTATTAATTGTGGTCTTAGAATGTACAATTGAAAATTAAATACCGAGAATGGCTGCTGCTGACGAGGATAAAATATTAGAAGGCTTTCTTTGTCCTATTTGTAAAGCTGACTTGAAATCAGCGTCACAACTAACGAGCCACTTTGAGAATTTACACCAAGAAGAACAAGATGTTCTCAAATCTCTAAAGGATATATTTGGTAAAGCGAAAAAGATTATATTGAATAGTGACGATACGGATTTGAAAGAAACCTTTGATCGTGCGTTAAAATTTAATCAACAAGAGCAATATTATTCTCAAGAAGAACAGGTAATAGGTGTGTCCCGAAGTTCTACCGACTATTTTAAGGCTGTACGGTCTTCGAGACTGGAGAGGTATGCGACGGAAACTAATAATTTGCTAATAAGACTAGATAAATTAGTGTGTAATATGCCAGAAGAACCAAACCAAAGAAAACAGCATGAACAGGAAGTAAGTACTATTTCTATTAATATGTAAGTGAGTTTGTTATATGTTGAACTTTAACAGCTACATTAATTGTCAAAAAATTTGGCATACATGTATTTAGATGAATACTTTGTGTACAACTATTTCAATATCATCTAAGTTGTACTTTTATATTAATTTATATTTAATTTAACAACTTCAGTATCAATGACTTACATAGTCATACACTTATAAATATATTGGTTATCTGTATAGAAATAATTAATATCTTAGCATAATTTAAATTGATTTTTATGATACATTTGAAATTTATGTATAAAAAGTAATTAATGATAATAAAAAATTATGTCAAAATAAAATTGACATAAATCATCGGTTATCTTGTTTATCTCCAGGTGATAAATCACAACCTTGTAGTGTTATGTAATAAAAACAATGGAAATAACCTTTATAATAATTTAAAATATTTGAACAATTTTCCTAATTTACTTTTTTATATAGAACTTTTCAGTGAAAAGTTAAAAATAAATGTAATTAAACCTAAAAACTACTATTTACTGAGGCATGAGTCTAATTAAAAAAAAAAAATTTGCAGGTTGTACCATGGTTGGATGGGACATCAGTGAAACTTTGTCCAAGCTGTGCTAAATCTTTCAACCTGACTAGAAGAAAACATCATTGTAGATTGTGTGGCTCCATTCTTTGTCATGATTGTTCTGTGTTCCTTGATTTAAAAATTGCTAGTAAGTCTTTTTCATGTTCTCTATTATTCAAGTTTTTGTTTATCTTAAAAAATTAATTAGCTATCCATTCTGAGTTAGATCGAGCCAAGATTGTATCAAATTCCTTAAGAAACTGCTGAGCTTTTTGAGATCCCTATTATGCAAACTCAGTCTTTATATTTGTTTTAATAAAAAAGTTATTTGCACCTAAATTGATCTATGTCCTATTGTAATACAATGACAAGATTAAGAATTATATAAATACTTTTAGGTACAATATAAGATTTTTTTTAAATTTTAGGAGGGATTGTTGACCCATCAGCCTCTCAGGTTTCCTCAGAACCAGATCCTGATTCAGAAAGGTCACGGCTACGACTTTGTGAGCATTGTTATAAACTAATAGAACTACGGAAACAAGTGCAGGAGAGTCGGAACGCTAAGACTGTATTGATGACAGCTTATGAGCAGATGAGAAGTTTGATGGAACAGGCTAAATCAGCTGTTGCTATGTATGAAAAAGTTAGTATAGCAAACTTTTTGTACCATCTTGATAAATTACTGTTGATAAAAACTTATTCTGTGCTGTATAACATTTCAACTGTGGAATACAAGTGGTATTAATTAAATATATATATATATATATATATATATATATATATATATATATATATATATATATATATATATATTGATCTTATGATAATTATCTTTAGTAATATTATTTCCAACCAATGAAGTAGGCTACTTCCAGAAGGTGTACTAAGATAAAATATATACCACATTTTTAGTTAGACTTATAGAAATACTATTGTAAAAATTGCATTCAATTTTGTGTAATAGTTTCTGTGTGATAACATAACAAACATTTTTGTGTAATGTTGGATATACAGAGAGAAAATACTATAAATTTATGGTTTCTATTGCTTTTATTAAGACCTCCCAAATTTAAATTCTTCAAAAATATCTCCCATCCATAGACATCATCCAGTTACAATTTTACTATATAAGTAAGATCATATTAATAATTATCAATATATTATTATAATAATATATTGGGCATACCATATTCTGCCTTGTAAATATTTTTTTTTTCAGATGTGTCAAAGTTTATTTGATGGCGAGACAACATACAACCTTTCTGATGTGAATGCAATGCGTGGTCGCATAGGCAAGTTAGCAGAGGGTATTGACTTACTGAGCAAGCAGATAGCTAGTTTCCCAGCAGAGCCTGGGACTAGACAGTTAAAGCTACAGAATTCTATTAGACAGGCTGCAGCACATTATATAAAGGTATTAGCCTACTTGGCAAATATTATTTTGCTCTTACTGGGTTTTTTTAATGAGATAGAAACTGTTCCATCTTCCAAATTGAAACATGCAATACACACAAAATGGGGGGGGAAAGGGATTGTTAGTAATGTAGACTGAGAATCCCATTGCTAGCAATATACCCAACCAGGTCAACCTCGTGGTTCTCCCTGGAAACTATCATGGTTAATTCCTGATGAATTCATCATGATGGGCTAACTGGCCTGTTTTCATTCTCATCTAGCACCCTACACTGGTGCTCCGCCAGCGCATCCCGTTAGCACAGGCGGGGTTACCATACTATTTTCACCCATAAAAAAAAACGCATAAAATGGATGAGCATGTATGGAAATTATAATTATTCATGATCTTTTTATATTACATATATTATTAAGATATTCTCTACCATTCATTTAAATACATAATAATAATCGTACTTTAAGATTTTTTTGTACAAAACAACCTGCTTAAATAGTAACAAAAGTATGGGACCAGTACATATATAGAATGCAAAAATATCAAAATTCATACAGAATTAGCAGTTTGTATATCATACTTAAACACTGCTATTAGTAATGTACATTATGTCTCTGTTATGTGCATGGTACTGCTCATGTCTATAGGCGACGGTTACCACTTTCCATCAGGTGGGCAAAAAAAAACCAGTTGCATAAAAAAAAAACAAATTATTTAAGATTATTTTCCAGACTGGGCCTGCCTCCTTAAAAATGACACTTCGTGTACTCTACATAATTAAATGCTCTGCTCATATGATCTGAGATGGGCACGGGATTAAGGTTGACTGGAAGAAATCTTTTAAGGGATAAATACATCTGTGTACATTTTTGTTTTTACCTAATATATGATTATGTATAAATATATATCATATATTTAAAGTGATTGAACATATATACAAAAAAATATAAACAAATAAGTCTATATATAATATATATTGTTTATTTTAGGAGGATCTCATATCCCTCCGCAAGTTACCAACAGAAGCTCAAATAGAGGAAGTCCGGCGACAGCGGTACGAGCGTGCCGAGAGGCAGATACAAATGGAGCGGCAGCGGATGGAAATGGAACGCGCTGTGGACACGGCCGGGCCCAGCTCGTCCAGGGTCCAGCACAATGATGTCGACGATGACAACCCGTTGATCGAGCAAATGAACATCATTAGAGGCTACATCAAGGAAGCTAGGAAAGAGCTTAGGTTTGAAGAGGTATATTGATTATTCATTTATATATCTAAATAGTATTTTCTTATACTACTATGTTAACAAACCGGCTATGGACCCATCTGATGGTAAGTGGTCACTGTAGCCTATGGATGCTTGCAACACTAGGAGTTGTCTTGCGTGCGTTGTCGATCCTGAAGAAACCTTATTACACCTTTTTGAAGAATTTCATGAGCAATTATTTAACATAGATAATAGGAATAAGTTTTAAAAAATAATAAGTAGTCAGCCTTGATAGGTGGTAGTCTAAGGTGATCTTTTTATAATTTACTAAACAATTCCATTTAGTTCAAATTTTGTGTGTTTTGGCCAAATATTAAAATATTAATTTTGTTTACAGGTCGCAATATTAGAAGCAAATCTAAAAGATCTGAAGAAAGAATATCACTTACAAATGCTCTCTAACAAAACCTAGTCATTTTAAATTAAAATTATTAATTAAATATGTTATTCCATTTGTTTTATATTTAATAAGCTATTATTGGTTAGTTGTAAAATTTGTACCTAATTATTTATTTTAGGTATAAGAAATAAACAAATTTACAAAAAGTATGATTATTTCTTGATCACACCTTCCTATCTGTTTGTAAAGAAAAAAATAGTACAAAATATCATCACGGTCTTTTACAGGTTAGGCACAGAAAAATAGGCGGCTAATGGCCATTTGGTCCCAAAGAAATTTTATTAAAATCAATTTAGTAGTTTAGTTTTTAGATCAAAATAACTGGCTTCTCCACATTTGAAGTCGTTTTTTTTTTGTGGGACACAATCTTTAATTATTACTTTTATTATTTATTTTGTAACTTTCGTGAGCGAACTACTATTTTATAATTATATTAATTTACTAGTATTTCTTTTTTTTTCACTTTACCTTAGGTGGGCAGCAGCTTGTTTACCATTTTAAGTAGCATAAAAAAAGTTTGGTCCACAATTTAGCCCACATGGTACTATTCACTGTAGTAAATCCTAGTCAAGGTATACCATATACCTATTATAAATATCTCCTTTGTACGAATGTACTATACCGATTACGACTGAGTCCATATTCCGACTCACGCTTGGCAGATTTACGGGTGGCTGTAACCACAACCTTTTTTGAAGGATGGATCCGCGCTTGTGCTAAGTTTACTTGCTACCTGATCAGCTGAAATTAAACGCAGTTGTACAGTATCGCACGAATGAGACCGCCATTTCTTTTTGAGGAGTAAACCTATGGTTATTGCGGCAACAGTCACTTAAGTTGTTCTCTAAACTTCTCCAATTTGTCTAATTGCTTTAACAACTGCGGCCTCGTACATAATGCCTTCTTGATCGCTTCGTCGAGCATCTTCCGTTGATAGAACGGCGGGAGTGGCGTATCCTCCAGATGGAATGTATGGACACGCCCCACGCTGTCTCCCACGAACACGTTGTCCCCAGAAGCTGAAAATCTTATATACGATAATACAACGTGTCCCGGAAATGTATACTCCGCACAGGGGATGTGTGTCTTTCGTCGAAGGTCCCAAATGGATAACACGTTTTCACTGACGGATATGAGGATTGTGGCGTTGATAGGACAGAAAGCGATGCCGTATACCGCTGATGAACAGTTCAGCGTCATTATGACGTCGTCCATACCTTCCATCCATAGTCTGATAGCACCGTCAGCACCACAAGAAACCAGCAACGTTTTCATGAACCGTGAAAACTGTATATCGTAGACCGGACCTGCGTGAGCTCTAAAAACTTCTATATGTTGATTTAAATAATGGGTGGAACATTTGTGAATACAACCCTCGTCAGTCCCAATAAAGTAAATATGGTCGATAGTTGGATGCCACTTCATGCACAGAGCGGCCGGGTATCTTGTTATAGGGACGTCAACTTTCAAGCAAGGTTTTGCTGTTTCTATACCTTTCATTTTCCCTTCGACGGTCGATATCCGCATCATAGGACTGCAAATGAAGTCGTGTGTCTTCGTGCTCGTGAGTCTGTTAATTCTTCCATCCTGACAAGTAGTCATGACGAACTCGCTATGGCTTTCCATGACGCGCCAGTTAGTGACCCATATAGGCTCAAAGCAAGGATTTGTGTCGCGTTTACTTTTTGCTAGGATTTTAACCGTATAAGATGTTATATCTAAAATTAGCACATCGCCATTAGCAAAGCCACAAGCTAACCAATTGGGCTTCTTTTCAGAGAAAGCTACAGAAGTTAGCGGGTCTTCAAAGTAGTACAATCTCTCTGGTTTACAAGGATTCTTTGTGCACCATACACAGACGATACCTTTATGATATTCAGCGTAACAGAATTTACCATAACCCACAGCTAAAATATTTGGATTTTTGGGATTGAAAGAGATCCCTGTTATTGGCCGGTTAGTCGTCTCTTCACACTCTAAAGTCCATAGAGGTTTCATAGAATAAATATATACTAAATCTAACGACAGTGGATTAATGCTAACAAGACCACGGAATTTCTTTTGGGCCTCAGAATACTCTGAAGTGGACAGTACGCGTTCTATTAAAAGTGCCGCATCGTAAAATTCTGGTGTTTTTGCAATTTCCTCTAAAGTTTTGCCTTTTCTTTCCTCGTCTGATTCTGACACTAGTGATTTTTTTTTACGTAATAACTTTGGTGCAGCCGATTGGTACATGACCATCTCATCAGGTTCTTCTTTAGTCTTTACTTTTGAAAGGCGCGCGTAAGTATCATGCATGTCCCACGTGGACGCGAATGCAAAAGCATTTTTCTTCTGGGGTCTAGTAGCTAACGTATGGCGAGTTTGCGTAATACATTGCTTAGTTTGCGTTTCTTCTATCACCATTTTACGATTTCTGCCTTTTCCGACGGTAATGTATTGATAATATTCATTTTCTTCCTCAATAGCACTGTTTTCTGATGTTCCCTTTTCATAAGAAAATGATGGCAGTTCAAATAAGAAATGCGTTTCAGTTTCTTTAAGAGTAACAAATATTTCTGGTGGATAAGACATTATTGGTATTCTTTTAGGTAAATAAAAAGCTGAAGGGGCTATCTCTAAATCTATATCCTCCGCTACAAATTCTTCTTCAGTATTGCATGTGTAATCGATACGGATGTCGTCAAGGGAGATGGTAGTCGCATATAATTTCATGCCTGCGTCAGCTGCTATTTTGGATTTTGATCTAGAACCCTTTATTCCCACGTCGCTCCTAACCCGCTGTTTACTTTCAAAGGCTGCGTGTGTAAATGTGTCCTCCACGGTCACGTAATCTGTATCCACGACGTTATCTGGTGTCAATTCGACACCATCTACCATTACGCGATATTTTTGCCGTTTATCCATAAATGAGAATGTCAATTTGCTAGTTTTTGATGAAGACTCTTCTATGAAGCTGATTCGTGAATGTTCCGTCTTCGAGATAAATGTACTCGGAACTGATGGGGTAGTTACAGTTAACACAGACATTTTTTTTTTCTATAATTTATTATCTGAAATGTATAAATTAAATATGTCTAATAAAATAATTAGTTGATAAAAAATTCGAATTGATTACTAATGTGACGTCAAAATGTTTATGTTAAACGTCATGACGGTTCAGTTACATAATCGTAAAAAGTTTTTTTGCATAAAATTAAAATCTATTACAAAGTAAGCTAACATAGATGTTATTTAATTACTTAATTGAGGTTCCGTAGACCATATCGCACGCCCTTCTTGTTGCTTTCTGGTAAGCCAAGCGCACATCCGCTTTCGCGCGTGGCTGCCTTACCAACTTTGTATAACATATGGTAAACATTAGACATCTAACTGCTAATATATTATTTTCTGTATGAAAAATTCAAAATAGCTGAGACTTCTATGGAAGATTTACACGACAAGAGTGAAAATCAAGCATACGGTCCTTTTATTATGTTACAGTCCATAAACGCTAGTCTTATATATGAGTTCTAAAAAAACTGATTATAGGCACACAGGAAATAATAAAGAATTAATGATTTTACATTACTTTTAGTAAGTACTTACGCAATACCACATTTATGCAATCTCCATTTCTAGGTTAAAAAGAGTTTCTCTGAGACTATGAAATTAAAATTGTATTGCCTATCACGCGAATTAAATTTGACGACCTCTGTACCGCTAAGCGTAAAATGAGATTCCTGGTTCGATTTTCATTTGAACAAATGCAAAAAATTTAACAGATTTTGACTTAGAACTGACTCACATACATATCGTGCGACTACTTGACTTCCAAGGAAATAGGATGTAATTTTTAGGTGTTCGTATTATTGCATTAAGTAGTAGGTTTTTTTTAATGGGTAATAATGGAATTGTAACCCCGCCCGCGCTATTGGTATACACTGGCAGGGCACCAGTGAGAGATGATAGGAGGTGAGGATGAAGCAGGTCAGTTAGCCCATCGTGACCAATTCAACAAGGATTAATCACGATGGTATCCAAGGGGAACCACGTGGAGGTCTACCTGATAAGGTGTATTGCTAGCAATAGATTCATTAGACCCCTTTACTAACAATCTCTTTCCCCCCAAGTAGTAGGATTAGGTATATTCAGATCTTTAGAGCAGTACCTATGCTTGTATTTTTATAAGTGTATATTATGCTATATCTTTCCCAGTTTTGAACAGATTTAGAAGAATAATCATTAGAAATCATCAGAGACGTTGACTGTTAAAAAGAATAGCATATATTTTCCTTAAGCGGCAAAATTGCAAAATGAGTTTGGTAATTTTTTTTTTGTAATATTTTGGTATCTAAAGAAATGTAAATTATAATTAAACTTTTATTATATGCTAGCGACTCGTCTCGGCTTCACTAAGGTACTAGTAGCTAAACTTAAAATTTTTATAGGCGAAAGAATAACTAAACATTACCAGAGGGAGACTTTGTACAAAAGTCGTTTGCTTGTGCACCTCTGTCGTGTTTCTACCGTGAAACAGTCGTATTTGCATGGCATGTTTCGGTTTGAAGGGTGGAATATGGCAGCGAATTTACAGGGTATAGAGGAATAACACCTGAGTCCTCAGGAATTGCAAAGCATGGGCGTATCATGGGCGAAACAGTATACTCTGTTATTTCCATGGTACTGCTCATGTCTATTGGCGACGGTTATCACTTTTCAACAGGTAGGCCGTCAGCTTGTTTACCATTCTAAGTTGCAAAAAAAAAAAACAAATGTTTCCACTTTCTTAGTATTAGTTTGGAAATACGTTATTAGGTGGCTTAAGTAATGTGAAACACCAACTTTTATATTTTCATATTTGGATAAATGTTAGTAGTTAGGTATATGTCTATAGGTAGGATTATACTGTACAGATGTAGGTATACTTGTTGGTTATATCATAAAAAAAGACAATACCTAGCAATTATTCAAGCTTTACAATGGCAGATGTAATGGGTAACCAAATTCGCACGCCACGGATCAAAGAGTATGGTAACATGGTGCAGCCAAGATGTAGAGTTTATCCACCCCGGGACGCTACCGGCTGGGCAACCGTCCGTGACTGTGGACAGCTTTATTCCGAGCCGGTGCATTTGTGGTCCGAGCGCGTGCCAACACACCTGCTTCCACTCACCCCTGGATTGGCGACAGTTCACCCACCTCGACATGAAGAAGTTCATTAGGAAGTTACGCGAGCGTGAGTTCTTGTTACTTTTTTGATAATATTTTTATTTATTAGGTTTAATATTCTTGATCTAATATTTATGTGTGTGATGATGAACATGTACATAGATGATAAATAATTTAACGAACTTAGTTTTCTCTCCTGTATGAATATGAGATATTTTACCGTAGTAAAAAAATGTGTAGGTACTTTTTTGAATGTTATTTTGAATAATGAATAATGACAATGGAGTGCTAACCCCGCTTGTGCTAACAGTATGCACTGGTGGGGTACCAGTGAATGATGATAGGTGAGATGAAAAGGGAGGCCAGTTAGCCATGCTGAATTCCTGGTGTATTCATCACGATGGTTTCTAGTGGGGACCAGAGGTCGATCTGACAGAGTATATTGCTAGCAATGGGACTGGTAGTCCGCATAAGTAATGTGGACTGTACCACTACCAATCCCTTTCCCCCAGTTCTGTATGCTTGACGGAGTACTAAATTGTTACCAAACTGAATTTAAGTTTCTTTACCTGATCCTTGTATCTCCTCTTTATCCTGGCGTCAGAGATGCCCTAGAACTATATCGCTAATGTTCACGATCCACACCGGCGTTATTTCAATCATTTAGGAAATTTAGTTTTCAGAATTGATCAATTCAGAAAAGTTCGTATCAATCTTTAAATCCCTAGTAGGAAAGCAAAGAGCATAATCCTTTTTAAAATTCCGGCATCATACCTGCAATGCTTCTGGTGTTGCGGGTGCTCATAGGCGGCGGCAGTCACTTACCATCAGGTGAAATGCTTGTTTGTTTGCCCCCTGTGTTATAAAAAAAATATATCGCGATCGTAGATTAAATAGATTTTATACAGATAGAGCATTAAGTGTCAATAGTATGCCAATTGTAAGTCAGCTGCATTGTCATTTCGTCGAATCATTTTGAGACATATTTTTTCGCAATTTTTTTTCAATTTATCGGTAAGAGCCGACACTCTGTCGTTCCCCTTTCACGGGCTTGGAGTACCATCTGCACTCGCTCCTGCACGCGCCCGCTGTAGTTGTAAAGGCAATCTGCGGATAAAAGCAAGTAAAATAATTTACCATCAGGTGAGCCGTACGCTCGTTTGTCCTCAGTATTATAAAGAAAGGAGAATTCCTTAGTGAGTAGTTTTAGAAACGAAACTAAAAAGTAAATTAATTTTGTAATTAAATACTTTGAATTGTTGTTCTTTGGTAGTTAATTAAGTTGACAGGAAGAGATTTCTTTTAGAGATAAGTTAACCTTTGCTTACATTATTTCTAATTGTTATTATTACTGTAAGTTTCAATGCAATAAATAATATTATTGTTATTAATTCTTCGTCCTACGAATAATTTCGTCAGAGTAAAATTTTTATACATTCCTTGTTCGTACCTTAGTAATTGTGAAGGATTGGCCAAGGATTTTTTTTATTTGCATTCAACAAATTGATGCATTCTTGCGATTTGTCGCGCTCTCGATGCAGTGACGATGCACTAAACGTATATATGAGTATGTTGACAGTACAATCGACTAGCTCTCTACTAAATAAAGTTCTGTTTACTCTTAATTGAGTATGAACAAGTCTTTTACGATTGTGATTTCCTGAGCTGCAACCACAGATAAAATAATAATGTGCAACTATAATCTAAGTGTGCAACATTTGAATCTTGAGTGCCGGTTGTTACTAATAGTTATTACGAACTGGTTCTTCCTCGTGACTTCTTCTAGATGGAATTTATATATACATCGTGAAGTAGTAGTATCTTTTCAAATTTTATAATCTGGATAGATTTTCTATTTTTATCCTAATGCCAAATATTTTTTCTCCAAATTTATACGATTTGCTTTATTTTAACCCAATCACACCTTCAAGTTCTTCCTGATACCATCAAGAGACTTTCGTCTAAACGGTCGTAAAAAAATGTTTATGTTCACTTTATCCGAGTAGTGAATATTGTCTATTATTCTCGTCTTCGCGTATAATATCGTAGTAAGTACCTCTGGGGGGAAAGGATTGTTAGTAATGGAGACTGAGGGTCCTATTGCTAGCAATACCAACTAGGTCGACCTCCCCGTGGTACCCCCTTAAAACCATCGTGCTGAAAACCACGATGGGCTTACTGACCTGCTTTTTTCTTTTTTTTTACATTCTCATCTATCATCCCTCACTGGTGCCCCGCCAGCGTATACAGTTAACGTAGGCGAGGTTACCATTCCATCATCCATTAAAAAAAATATATTATGTGTAAGTATATTTGTTATTTATATATATTTATTTGTTTATATATGTAAATTTTAGTATGTACTTTGTACGTATATCAATTATTATTAGACCGCATTCGAGTATTTTAACACTTCCCTAAGGTTGACTGGGAAAGAACGTTTTTAGCATTAACTAAGCCCGCCTTGTATTGATTTTCACGTTTTGTTATGAATAATAAAGCGAACGAGGAATAAAAATCCGCGTTTCCATATGTTTCCATTTTTAACTTCTTTGTGTTATCCCATCTTCTGTTTTGCTACCTTTATGCCGCGATACGGCATATAAAATTAATGAAATTTATATGCCGCGATTTACAAATTCCAAAACTTCAAAAAGTTTTACTCAAATTTCTTCAAGCCCATTTCACTTTTATCCAAAAATTTCGCCACGAATTTGATTTCTCCAAAATTTCGCGAACAGAATTTTTTTTATTCAAAATTATAAATAAATTACCCAATTTGGCGACTCTGTTTGTTGGGTATTTTTATACTAACAAGGAACTATGAGTGGTATCTTAATAGAAACAGAAAACTCATTCATTAAACCAAAAAAAAAAATGCCTTCAACCATACTCTAACAAAACATAGGAAACAGGTAAGTTTTTATTATTATAGCACGCCATGGGACCACATCATTCCGAGCGAGCACAGGAACCACAGACACCATATTGTAGACAGTGATATTTTACCCAAGTAAATCAGAAAACCAATATTTTATTACCGATCACACTTCGAAAATATTTAAATCACGAATCTAATCACAGCAACAACATAACATTACAGCTATGTTATCAAAAGTGAGAGCGTTATATAACTTACATATCGAATAATCGTTTGAGAGTGTATCGGTTAAATTAATCGACTTCATGGCTAGTTGAGATCGTTCCGAGTCAACAAAAGCAAAAGCTTACGGCTAAGTGCACGGCATCAGATACTAGAGACGGGGTAATATCTACCCGCGCCCGCGCCGCCCACATTTCGTCGGCGCGCCGCGGCGTTGGAGTGTTGGACAACGCATGCGTTCACGTGCGTCGATCGATGCATAATGTTTTAATCGTAATTGCATCTTTTTAACCATGCAAGTAATAATAATATGAATGTATCCAGTTAATTATAGATACTTAACATTATTACGAACAGTAGAAACGCCAGTAAGTTGTAATCTTGACTGACACCGTAACATTTATGTTTTTTTTTTTAAATGGACGATAATGGAATGACAACTCCGCCCGCGCTAACGGTATACACTGGCGGGGTACTAGTAAGTGATGACAGGTAAAAATGAAAAGGCAGGTCAGTTAGCCCATCGTGATGAATACACCTGGGATTCAGTACGATGGTTTCTAGGGGGACCATGTGGAGGTTGACCTGACAGGGTATATTGATAGCAATGAGACTGTTAGTATGAAATACTAACAATCCTTTTTCCCGCTAACAACTGTTTTAATTGATGATACCTACTGTCGTTTTGTTTTTTGAAGTAAAAATAAGCCTGTACAGTTTAAAACGTTTTTTGTTTTGCCGAACGTTCATCCATAAAGTTTCCGCGAAAAAAGAAATGATCACGAACGTAAGCGAAATCGTGTCCAAGAGAGCGAAGCGATGCAATTTTGAAATTCTTTCGCCGGGCCGTCACCGTGTCAGGGAGAGCGAGTGTCCACAGTGCAGGCGGGCGGAGGCGCGGGCGCAGGCTGGGGGTCGAGAGGTCGTGCGCGCAGACGCGCTCCGCCCCCCTAATTGCCGCGCCCCACGCAAATAAATAATTTTTATCCACTGCGCCTGCGCGAGATCACGCTCCTTCTTGACCCTAAATTACTGTACGTAAAGCTCGTTTTTGTGAATTTTTAATCGGTTTCCCGAATAGCGGGCGTCGGAATACCGAAAAGCAGCCAGTGATCATCGGGCATTCGTGATAGCATCAGCCACGTCGAATTGTTAATGATACCTCTGCAACTCTGCACAGATGTAATAATTAAATGTTAAAAGTTTCATGCTATCTGTACAGCTAAAGCAAAAAAATTTCAGCGATAAAAACAATTTACTTCTCTTTGTGGTTTATCAAACAATAAAAACTGCAGTTTACTTACTATGATTTCGTCGGATATCTCGCTCAGTATCAATATCACAAATGTGCCTTAATATGCACGTTGTCACAATATTCACAGTGATACAGTTATAAAAATGACACCTAGATGTAACCTAGTAACAGACGCTACGATTCGCATGTCATGTTTTACAGCTGCTATATAGATATTCGTATCATCATCATCATATCAGGTCTGTCTACTGCTGAACATAGACCTCTTCTATAAGAAGAGTCTTGCCAGTAGTGGCCACACTTGGCAGGCAGATTGGAAACCGCAGTTGGGCTTTGGTGATGTTTTAAGAGCGACGCTGCTGCCCATCCCTCAACTACTAGGTATTTTTAATCGCCTCTTACGACCTTCAGGTACTCGTGTATTTATCAAAAACTAAAACTCAGTTATTTATTTATAACTGTTTTTTTTCAGTATTTATGGTTTGCGAAATTTGTTAAGCAAACATTCAATAATTCATATTTTTAAGTGTGATTGAATAACAAATATTCGTTTATGTTTATATTTACAATATTCGTAGGATGACGTATTAAGCCAACCACTTGACAAGCTGCCAATATGTCACTTCACCATTACGTATGGTATAAGCGAATGACCATGACCAATGATTGCGGTTGTAGGTCATTATCTATTGGTCACAGTATCACCATT